AGAAATAATTATTTAAAAGAATATTCAAAAAAGACTTTCAGAGAAAAATAATGGTAAAAACCTCAAATCGGTGACCATTCCCAAATATATTCTGAAATTCCTTTTTTCTATTGACAACCAAATTGGACAGAAATAAAAACTTCACTCATTTTTATTAGTTTCTGATGATTTTGTTCTGAAATTTTTTGTTTGTGGCAAGATTTATATCACAACAGAACCTGACACAAAGTTCTAAAATAATTGAGATACCAATACTGGCAGTCTTCTATGGTCTGCAAAAGCTTAATGTAGCTAGCAAAGATAGTCAAACAATTATCTTTATAAATCAACAGTACTTTTCAGAAGACAAAAAAAAAAAAATAGAACCAATATGCCTTTCCTTGAAATTACATGTAAATGTAATAAATATATGAGATAAAGAAAATTTCTTTCTAATCATTAAAAAGTGATATTTTTTTTATGATTATCCACAACTTAAAAAAAAAAAAAAAAAAAACCCAAAAAAACTGTAGTTGAAAAAAGTTCACTCTGTAAAATTTAACTGTGCTGTAACAATTGCCATGATATTTAAAATTAGTTGGCAGGCTTAAGAGAAATTAAAAATTAATATCATGCAGGGAAAAAATATACTGTAAGCGACACGAAAAAAAAAGATGATCGAAAGCAGTCTTAAGGTTGTTGAACTGAATCTAAATTAAAAGAAAGTCTTGCAATGATACAAAAACAAAAAAAATAAAATAAATGACTTTATTTAAAAAGTTATTTGCATATCTCAATGCAGTTTTAATAGTGATCTCAAAAATCTGTAGGAGGGGCAATTATTCAAGGATTTATCTAAAATATTAAAAACACATAAAACTTTGAGCGTTCTAAATTCGGTTCATTATAGCCTGATGGTCTAAATGAGAATTAGTGTATCAAAGATCTAATTCATGCATTAAGCTTTAAAAATAAAAAAGTAGTTTTTTAAATTACTAAACCCAGGACTCAACTCTGAATTTATACATTTCCCCTTAACAAAATTATTATTTTCAAATTTATTTGATTTTTACCTTGCATCCAAAATACAGTGTTTGACAAACTAATTGTTAATTTAAAAAAAAAAAAAGAATAAAAAAAAGTAGGATCCAGCAAAAGTAAAAAAAATGGTGAAATTTTACGGCTATTTGATATGCTATGAATACCTGTCAAAAGAGATTGTAAAATTGTGAGACAAGGAAAATACTAACATTTTTGATTAATGATTTGTTACTGTATGTCTAAGATAAGGATTATTATACAAACATTTTCCATGACCATGTGGCTATAGAACTCAACACAGCAGAATGACACAGTCATTTTCACACTTCACTCTTTAGACCAAGTAGCAATACTTTTTTAGCAGGCTGGAGATGGTGTGTGTGTGTGTGTGTGTGTGTGTGTATATATATATATACACACACACACACACACACACAATTTAAATAACTTATTAACTTTTCTTTTGCATATTTTTGTGTGTGTAGTTGGAGGTAGCATGGATGGAATTTGTTTGCATTTGAAAATGAGTTTATCTTGTTCTGGAAAGTTAATTATTGCTATTTTCTCCTCTAGACACAGGTTATGTTCTGAGGTGTTGCTCCAAGCTGGTTCTATTTTTCTTATTCTCCATGTTATTTATGTGTTTTGGTTTGAGTTGCCACATGTTTTGTTAGAATAGTATTTTTGCATATTTTTGTTGTTAAATGTGTGCATGTGTACATAGTTTTTCTGTTTCAAGGGACTTTCTTTTATTATAATTTTTCAGAGTTCACCTTAGGGCTTACCATAACTTTGTAAATTACATTATTGTGTAGGCAGTTACCATTTAATGGGCATTTGTGCTTTGCTCCGCAGTTACAAGTGGATGTTTATGGTGTATATGTAATTTTCCAGTTGTATAGTGTTTTTGCTTTAGCTATAGTTAAGTTTTAGCATATTTCTGTTGAATATTTTGTATAGTTTTCTTGATTTTATGAAGTGAATATTGCACGGAAGCATGAAACTGACAGCCATCATGCAAATGTTGATTCCTGTACCCACACTGTCTATATCTATAAATGCTCTATCTCTAATATTGAGTACTCTTCTATAAACAAATTTTAACACACACACACATATACGTGTTTGTGTGTGTGTATGTGTGTATTTTTAAGCAAAGGAAAAAAAAAAAAAAAAAAAGACCAAAGAGTTTTTGTAATTTTCTTATGTGAGCTTTGTCCAAATCGAATTTCATGTTAAATCAATGCAAACAGAAGTGTATACATACCATATTTTCCTTAAGAGACTTGCTTCTTAGGTTCTTTCATAGTCTTGGTTTTCAAATCAGTTGGAAAAGTTGGAGAAATCCTTTGAGTATACTCAAATCATCTTTTTCTACACCTGCAGGTGTGGGACAAATGCCAAGAACTTAGCTTGGCTAAACATGAAAAACATCCTTGTTGCAAGATAGAAAACTGCCTGTATTATTAGATGTTGATCAAAAGTTTATCTTCACTTAGCCAATGTAATGCCCAAAACAATCTATCACTAGAAAAGTTGCACAATCCCCAATTATTAATGGCACAATTTATACAGAATTGCTTGCATAGCCCATAAAACATGTCAGTAGTCAGTATTCCTGAAAACTCTTGAAGGCTATCATTATTGTTTAATAGCATTTAAAAAGAAATGATGATATTGCTGATGCTGGAGGGAGGATGGGCCAAGTGTGATAATTAGATAAATTTGTTTTTGTTAGAAAACAGCAAGCAATAGAGTGAGTGAGTGAGAGCAACAAAGTAACAAAGCTTTTTGTTAATAATCAGAGACAGTAATCTGTACAAAAGAACTAAAGCGGTATTTGAGGAAATTCCATGATATTCCTTCAAGTTTTGTAAAATGATACAAACATTACATAATCATGAAAGATGTGCATTTAAGAGAACTCAAAATGTCCCAATTTGAAATTTCAAGATACACTTTTACCTCTAATATCTTTATTGCCAATACACAACCTTCTTTATATCTGAACAGTTGTATTATTAATATTTAAATTTCCCAGAATAATTTTGTGGATAGACAAATTGGTATAAAAATGACAATGGGGAAAAAAAAAAAAAATCTTAGTTTTTGCCGATGTGTTTTGTCTTCAGACTTTATCATGGCAAACAATGAAAGTGAAATGTTTTTGTTGTTATAATTACATTAAGTCCAAAATTTAAAAAAAGAGAGACACTCCTTCATAAGCTTCTTTCTGGATAATGGTAACTTCCTTTATACTAAGAGTTTGTTTTTTGTTTTCCATGTCGACAATATAGTTAAATTTCCCAGAATAATTCTGATTATATATTTATATTAGATGACTGAATTTAATATTTTCTTAATATTTATGATAATAGAAAAATTAACAAAAAAAAAAAATAGGATTCTGGCATCAAGTGTCTTCTCTTTACTTTTACAAATTAAAACTTTAAAAAAAAAAAAAAAAAAAAAAAAAAGCATAAAATGAAAGATTCCTGTTAACTAAAAGCTGTTTGCATTATTTACTTATATCAAAATCATAAAATAGAAAACAGCTTCCATTCAAATTTTAAGCAAGAGATATCTATTTGCAGATTTTATTAATTCATAGGAAGACGATTATGCCACTAGTAGAGAAAATTTGTAAAGACTTTGTATAAATCAGAGAAAAATAACCAAATATTAAATTAGAGTAGAAAATTCTATCACAAACTCAAGTGAAAAGCACTAATTGTGATATCTTTTTGACACAAGCATTCAGATTATGTATTTTTTATTCTTTTGTCCTAAACAATAATTATTAATGAAACTCAAATACCAATGATGAAAGTGTTGGCATAATGCTTTGTATGATTGAAGATCATTTTAAGATGTGATCAGGGAAAATAAGAATGAGAACATTAAGAAGACAGTCAAAGAATTACAGAAAGAACCTCATCATAGAAAAATAATGGAGAAACTCACCTTTTAAGGAAAGCACATTTGCTTCAGTTGTATGTAACATTTTATTTGATGGGGGGGCTGGATTTGCAAAGTAGAGGTGTTGCTTTTATGAAATGGAATGGGACAAAGCCCAGAAATTTAAAGAATAATATTACACAAAGACTGAAGAAATAATTATGAAGGAAGGGGATGGGAAAAGTAATCCCAAACATGATGAGACTCATGGATTGACTTTAGAAAGAAAATTTAAAAAGTATTGAATCTGGTGAGTTTTGTATAGAGGAAAACATCAACAGTTTGAAAATAAGCTTATAGCATCCTATTGTTTGTAAATGCAACAAATTTTACACTCCGTGCAATTTTGAATTACTGGCTAAAACTAAAAGTTCATTGAAAAAGGTGTAGTTATCAAATGAGTTGCAACAATGAATAGCCACAATATAACAAAGGTTTACAAAATATACCAGATTTTGTATACCTGTTCCAATACGAATCAGATAATATGCAATCAAGAAATAAGAAAAAAAGAAGAAAATTTGGCTCAATGAAAGGTTAATATAGAAATGAAAACTTGGTGTGTAAAGCAAAAGGAAGGAAGAGGGAAGGAGGATGGGTATAAGCTGCATTCTGTCACTTCACTGGCATCAAGGTGATAAAAAGGAAAAGATCTTTTTTTAGCACCTGGAAATAAAAAAATGTCCTCTTTACCACAACTCCGTATACAAGTTTTCCTTTAAAACTTTGCTTTTTCTTGTTATGAGACAAAATTTCAGATAATGTAACCTACTTTTGTGTTTCAAAATTTATCCCTGAGTGAACTATTTTAATTCACCAGGAAAAGAAAAACAAAAAAAAAATCTATCATACAAGCAAGCATATGTATGCTTGTGAGTAAAGGCATAATGTTTAGTAGGTGTATTTTCAAGCAACACTCTACACACACACACATTATACACCTATGTTTACTTGGATGTAAATGAGTAAATTCAACCTGAAAGAAAACCACAGAGCAATTTCGGTGTATAGTCCTAATTTACCTGTCCCTGTTTTTGGTTAGTAGAGATCGCTCGATTCCGTCCATCAAATTCTCAAAACACTGTGCCATGGCAGGTTGTTTGTCTGCAGGTTGACTGGAAATGATGTTGTCCCTCAATTTGTGGAAATACTGATCAACAGAAATACAAGCAAAAATCAATCAATAGAAAAATTAGAATCAATTATCTTTTATAAGGAGGACGGGAATTGCCAAAGTAACAAAAGAAATACAGCAAATTATTTAAAAAAAAAAAAACAAAAAAACAAAAACAAAACTGTATTAAAATAAATTGAGAAAGAATTGTTATAAATCAGCATTAATGTTTTATAAAATTAAAGTTATTCTTTATAATTTTTATAAATAAAAAGTTATAATCAAAATAGAAATGTTTGTGTTCAGCACAATGTATAAATATGACAGGGCAATGTTGAAAAGTTCTCACCCTGGCAAAGAAGGGATGAAAGAAAATTTCAGACACTTGATCAAATTTTGGGAAGATTAAGAATTACTTCTCTATTATCCTTTTTTACAATACACTGCTGAGCCTGGATGCACGCTTGACTTACAATTTGATAGTTGCATTCTCATGGTTACAACATCAATAAGAAATGATGCACAATGAATACTTGCAATCAAATTCAAAATGCCATGGTCCCAGCAGCCAATTGTTTTGTCTGCTATGATACTGACAGGTTCATTGGTAAACACAACTTTCAAAGCAGCAAAATGACATAAACAATTTGCACAGATGAAGTTGCCTTACACACATAACACTTGTGATAGCACCACCTTCCTTTCAATGCTTTAATATAAATGGTCTATGTTGTTAATTTGATTTAGACAAAATCATCCACACCAAAGTTGTAATTGTTTTCTGCTTTAGTTTAAATGTCTTTTTAGAAGTCATTTCTCCCCGAATTAGAATTCTTTTTACTTGAAGTGATCTTTGATTTTGTCGGCCTTTTGTCTGTGGAGAACAGAATTAGCAAAACACATTATCTTCTGCATAAAACTCATGAGAAAATTGTTCAACTCTGACATTAGCACTAATTTTGGAGGATGAAGTTATTTGTCTTTTTTTTTTTTTTTTTTAAAGGTGAACTGGTTCAGTTTTTGAGGCTAAGGTCATAGATAATTAACCATATTCACTAGATTCAGCCATCTTGGCAATGTGCTACTCATACCAGAAACACAAATGGTTTAGATATAGAAAAAGAATAAAATCCTTCAAAAATATGAAAAAGAATATTTTGGGAAACAATAGTTAATGTTTTTAAACAATTTTTGTTCCTTTAAAATTAAAATAATTTCCAATGCTGGAAATGATGCATTTATAAATGCATTTGTGGCAATACACTGGGTGGCTTCATAGTCAACAATCATAGTTTATTGCTAAAGTGGATAAACAAATAAGGTAACGGGTTTTGGGAGAGAGAGAGAGAGAGAGATGAAAATAATTCAAGTTTTAACAAAAAATAAGTTTACAAGGTGTTTAGAATATTATAATGTTTGTGATAGCCCAATGTGTGTAGAGGAAATGAATGTCAATTATTGAAAGTCTTTGTGAATAAATTCTTTTGTAAAGTATTTTTGATGATAAAAAAAATCTTTGTTCTCAATTTAGCAATAAAACTAGTCATCAGGTAGGACTCCACATTTACAAAAGCTGACCAATGTCTTTTGAATTTACAAAGATATTTAAATTTTTTTCCATATCTTGAGAAAAAAAAAAATTGTAAAAAATTTTAATATAACTATATTCATATGTTTATGAAAGCATGTTATTTTTTTTAAGATCAAAATCAAAGAAACTTGAATTATTAAGCTTTGAAAGAATGAATAAAAAAAAAAAAAAAATTGAATGAATACCAAAATTCATTATTATTGAAAATTAGATGAAAAACTAGATTCCATTTCAAATGCCATCTGCAATTCTGAAAAACTATTTAAGGCAGTGTTCCTCCATGTTTTATGAAATTTTCTTCAAATATTGTTAAGCTTTTTAGATCTTAAAATTACAACTATTTATTGTTTAGACAATTCTTCAGTAAAATAAGCCATTCCAAACTGACAATATCAAATGAAAAGATAACTGTATAGGTGCTACTTACATCCTCATTCAACAAAATGAGGCCCAGGAGAGGGCGGGACATTGACCACTGATTACGGCAGTCTTCAAACATGATGATATTTAAAACTGTTGATAACATCTGGAAAAACAAAAACAAACATTAAAACTGCTGTTTGTCATGTTAGTATTTAACTCTTACTCTGGCAAATAATATTGACAGAAAATGAAATCAGGGCTATAAAAACTGCAGTCTGCTATCAGTGGGTTCAAGAAACAATTCAACTTTTTGTCAGTTAAAGTGAAATGTGCTTTACAAGTTGAAATCATTTTCTCTATCATCTTTCATAATGAACAGAATAAAATATTATTGTATATTTTTTCATCAAAATTTCAAATAAGATTTGTCATGATTACCTCAATTCAGACTATTTTATAAGAATTCTGTTTCAAATTATTGTCAACATACATTTAAAAAATAAGTGTTGTGCTATTTTCACCTGCAGCAGATTGCAAACTCTTGTAACTTTTTTTCTTAAAGAATTTCAGTAGACATGTTTTTCTGACCAATACATCCCCATGAGTGGCCAGATTAATTTTTAGAAAGTTATCAAGTTAGATAGATGTCAACCAAAGTTACAGAATTTCTATCTGCCCATTACCACTAGATGCAGACTTGTGACTACACACTAACACAACCATCAATGGCTTCAAAACAGTTTCATCTACCCAATTTCACTCAGAGTTTAGGTAAAAAGTTGATAGAGTTTTCAAGCACTTTCCAATGATGCTACATGCTGATATTATCTCATCAAGTCTATGTTATCAATATGTCACCTCATCGACTAATCAGCTATAGCAAGATTATAACCCAGGTTTCATGGTCAGAATGCTAATACCCTATTTGGCCATATGCCCATATTTACATTTCAAATGTAATATTGACTAAAATACATTTTTGTAACATTTTAGAATACATATTCAAATATTTGCAGGGGTGGTTTTTAAAGCAATCAGTGAAAGAAATTGTATTAAACTAATATTTTTTGTAATATAAATTTTTTTTTAAAGTTATCATAAAAAGTTAATTCTGATTACAATTTATGGTACTTTTATTTTTGCCTATCAGTAAAAGTAAACAATTTCAAAAGGTCAAGTGTATTTTAAATTTATATCCAGGAAAAATAGTTGAAACAGAAAATGTAGTCACTTTAGGACAAAATCTTTCAGATAGCATTTAGCCAGCTGATAACAACATTACACCAAAAGTAAAAGAATTAGAACATTTTACATTGTTAATATATTCATTGAAATAAACAACTTTATAACAAATTAAGAGGAAACTTGACTTTAAATTATTTGACTTATTAAATGTTTTAAAGTCTTTTGGACTGAATTTAATGACAAGAACCCTTTGATAACATTTGTGATTGTAATAAATATGAATTTGACTAGCAGTACCCATGAAAATTTAATTGTTTTCCTATTTAAATTTTCTGATAAATCATTTTTAAATTAAGGACTGAATAAGCCCTTTGCAAGTTCCACAATCATGAAATGCCCATGGAAATTCCTCTATTGCAACATTGAATATTTGAACTTTAACAAAATATTGCAATAACAATCATAAGTATGCAGGTTATTACTTAAAGAGGATACAAACAAAAGCATTCAAAGTTGACAAGATTTTCCATTTCACTGGAGCAGATGTTAAATACATAGAAGTGTTATTGCCTCCTCTATCTTCCCTTTCTTTCTTTCTCATTATATATACTTTCTTTTTCTCACTAAAATCAACATCTCTCTAATGCATCTTTCTTGCAATCAAAATGGAATGGTCCATTATTTACCTGAGGTAATGGTAGGATATAACACACATGCTAACTCATTGATGGAGGAACAATCAGAATTATAATAGGATTTTTAGTGAAAGATGTGAAAACAGACAATTTTAACCTTCCTACAATCAAGAACTGAAGCAACATTTCTCAATCCTAGAATAATGTAAAGTGTTCATTGCTCTACAAAGGTGAACTGTAAAGCTGAAATGCATGCTGGACTTTAAGATGCAATTGTTCACAATATATTGCAACTTCCAAATGCAAGAAGGTTCAGAAAGAAGAAATGGATATATCATAATGGAAGAATATTTACTTTATTATTAACTTTTATTCAAAAGTTCCACAGATATACTTTCTAAAAATTTATAAGCTAAAGACACATGCCTAGCTCTTTAGCATGGCAGAATTATATTGCTAAATTTTTCTAAATCATTAGATGGTTGCCATGGTGATTGTTTACATACCTGTTGCAAAATTTCTGGATGGACTTCAAGTATTCTAAGGAATGCTTCACTGTCTGGTATGCTAGTTGGATGGCTTTTTTTCTTTTTCCGTGTCAACTGCCGGAATAGATATGTGACTATATTGTCCAATATTGCACAGCAGCCAGTACAGACCATAGTATCTAAGAATAAAAATTTAAAAGGGATTTTCTTATGTCGCTTAAAATACAAAACCGTGTGTGCGTGTGTGTGTGTGTCTCAGAAATAAACAGCAAAATAATTTATATTTTAAAACCTGGAAAAAAAATTACAGTTCGACTCAAAAGAGTTTGCAAATACTGATATTTTACATTTTCTCTATGCTTTTATGGACAAAAGTTGAATATTTTAATTCCTTACTTCTCGCCCAATACCCAAACATTACATCTTAGATTAGAATAAACTACGAAAATTAGCTTTATTCGTGATGCAAAAAATTGGTTGTTCAAACCAATTGTACAAAATAATGAAAAGGTGTATTATGTATTATATACCAATGAAAGTTGGTATGACTTTGTTTGATATCAATGTATGAAAACACAAGGAGCATATTAATATTTAATTTTTCGACCATCATCCTTCAGAAGCTCAATAAGTCATTTATCGACTGATGAAGTGAGTTTCCTAACTTCAATGGCTGTGATTTTAGAACAAACATCCAAAATGCACTTTCACAGGTGATCCTTGTTAGACAATTTGCCGTCCATTTTCATAAACTCGACGCTTTACCATGGCTCAAAGGTTCTCAATAGGGTTTAAATCAAGACTCTGTGGTGGCCGTACCATAATCATTTCCCCTGTAAAACCTTGATGTGCCAACCACCCTTTGGTGAAGCACGCCGCATGACTGGGGGCATTATCTTGCTGATAAACACGATTACTACGAACTCCTCATTTTGTGAATTCAACCAAGGCGTGAGATTTTATTTTAAAAATTGGCAATAATTAGCTGAATTCAGTCCTGTTACAAGAAATGGTCCAATTAATGTCGAACCACAAATTCCAGCCCAGAACATCAGTCCACCACCGGTTTGTTGGTGCTTAAAAAACACGTGAGGAGTTCCACCATGAATGAGCCAACCTCTTTTCCAACCATTGGGGCCGTCTAATGTAGCTCAGGCTTAATCCATCCAAATTACTCTTTGGAAATCAATTTTTAAGTAATTGTTTGCCCATTTTAACCTCTTGAGGCAATTCATTTCACTCAACGGAGGGCATGAAATTGGAGAATGTTGTTTTGCCATACTACGGAGGATGTGATTTTGTGTTGATTTCAATACTTCTTCAACGCCAGTTTACTTAAGAATCTTTTTCTGGTGCTGTCAGAGTTCTGTTTGAGTGCTTTTTTAAATTTTTCTTAACTCTCTTGTTAACTGCACATGGGCGACCACCCTTGTGCTTCTTGCGCTCAATTTTACCATCATTGGTATATTGCTTTACTGTGTGATGATCTCGTTTAATTATTCTTGCTATTTGCAGTGTGGTTTTATCATTTGGGAGTAATTTTGATATTTTGGCTTTTTCATCAGCAGTAAGCATCTTCCCACGAGCCATTATTTTAAAATTTATGATTTCTGCAAACACTTTTGAAACACCTGAAATATATAGAAATCCTTAAATAAATAATAATATGGAGATTTTCGTTAATTAAACCATTATATCACATTGGATATGTCATTTTAAATTAAATATATTTATTCTAATGTTTATGCAAGCCATTACAATTGTTTAAATTTGTATATTCTAGAAATGTTATAGGTGCAAACACTTTTGAGTCGCACTGTAGTTCTCTCAAAAATTTAACATGCAATTAATTTTGTACAATATGATGAGAAATGAAAGAAAAAGTCACCAAATAACAATGAACTTCTTTATCAAGACCTGTAAATGTTCCAAAGCCCTAAAGATAAATGCTGTTTGGCTCTCATTTTTGTTGAGTACATCAAGAGACACTCGCAAGTACACATGCATCTGTTTTTGTTAGAAAAAGAATGATACTTTTTTCAATGTACTTAGGCTAGTAAACTTATCAAGTGTAACAAAAAAAATGAATTAAGTTAAACATTTATGGAATGCCTAAGATTTTCATTTCTTAAAAAGTCAACAAATTTGTACCTGTTTTGAGATAAATTCCATCTAATATAAAATAAATCCAAACTCCTCTCAAAAGATTAGTTTAAACCCACAGAAAGTTATTTAAGGAAAAAAAAAGAATTTTTTTCTTCATTTGTTCTGACAAAAGTGTTATTACAATATAAATGCCGGTGATCCAAATCAGGTATTACCTAAAGCTGTAAGTCCTTCCGATATAGTAGACAGAATATAAAGAAAGACTTGTGGTTCTAAATTGCTGATGAACATCATGTGGTCCTGGGCAAGACATTCCAATAAAGCATAATAGTTTTGGCTGAGCTTTGGATAATCCTGAAAGTTAAAAGAAAAACATACAATTATGTTTAAATGAAAAGATAAAATTGCACATTAAATGTTAACTCAATACAACAGTCTAGTAATGCTCAAGCAAGAAAAAGAAAAAAAAGAAGCTATCCTTATAAGGATTATGATGATCCTTTTTTTTTTTTTTCAGAGCTAGGTTGTTCAGTTCAAGACAGGATGACAAGAGTGGTTGATTCATAAGCAGTGTTCTTTTATTCAAAATTTAAGCAATCATCAAGTAATTGTATTTCAATAACTAGCATCAATTGTGCTGATTAAGTAGAAGACAGATTTCTTTGTTGATACTTTCCAAGAAAATGTATGGTGTGAATATATCATCTTCATAAATTAATATTTACCAAAAGTACTTATTGTTTTCTTTTGTGAAACTTATTTTTGATGAAATCCATTAGGATCCGAGATTAGAATTTACAGAAATTAGCCTTTTTTTTTCTATTGGAAAGACTATAATGATAACTATTACACAGACTTAACTGTTCAATTAAAATTAACTAAATCTAATAAAAATTAATATTCGTTGGCTATAAGCACATAGAATTGATATAAGCGACTATTCAGGAACAAGTTAATACATTGTCACAATTGATAATGCAATTTATTTATTTTTTTTTTTTTAAATCAAGTCACATTAGTAAATACCTCATTCATGAAAATTTATATTTTTACTGGTGCCTATTAACAACTTCAGCATAAAGGTGGGTTTTTTTTTTTTTTTCATCGATATGTGTCAACCAAAAATATAATATATATTACCCATAGACTAAATAGTATCAGTAGAAAACAGATATTAGTTAATGGGCATATGACAAAAAGAAGACAAGGTACCAATTTCATAAAGGGGACCTTTATATAATCAATGTTGTTTGGTACCTAATAGGTAAAGCAGAAAAAAATCTTAATGTCTTTTGGTGCTGAACATGTCAAGACATTACAAATATAACTCTTTATTGAAATGGCAAACAGACTATAAATTAATCGATATAAGATTACAAATAAGATGCTTAACTTACCAGCAGGTCATTTTGTGATATGGACAGCAAAAGTTTGACAAACATCCCCAGTGCATTATCAAGAGCATCATCTCCATACAATCTAAACACACCAAAATTGACATAGTTTCCACACAATGCAGCTTTCAACATAGAAAAACATATTGAGATACCTTTCAATGTAAAACAACTGTTAAGAAAAATGTTTTTAGAGTGAGAAATAAAAAGCAGCAAATTGTGAAAAAAGATTCTAACAGCAGCCAAGCTGTTAACAGTATCAATTTCTTATCAGATCAAATCTCTTATTCAAGTTGATTCACTTAAGGATTTTATTATCTTCTCACCATGCTGTCTGTTAAGCAAATAATATTGGTGATAAATTATACTTTAGCAGAATTAGCACATTATGTATAAATCATATTTTTGGTCTCTTACTTAAAGTTATTAATAAGCTATGGCTAATTCTCTAACTCTTGAGCTTAAAATGAAGATCATTATTAGGTACTACCATAGAAAACATGATATCTGAGGTTTAAAATGAATTTTAAAAAATAAAAATCTTTCTTAAAGCTTTGATTTTAGTTTTAATTCCAAGCTGATAGACTAAATTTAATCCAATAAGAAAAATAATTAGCTGTATTTCAAAACTAATTTAAATTGACAGTTTTTTTTCTTCTAAAATAGCTGATTAGAGTGCTTTTTTTTTTTAGTCATCTTTCATAGCAATGTAATGCATTTTATTAAAAAGATCTTCCAAAAATAAAATATACTTTTCTGAAACTTTGAGGAATATTGGTTGATTTAAAGTTTAATTAATCTGATTTGAAACAAGTATTTATATACAGATATAGATAGATAATGTATAATAATAAAAAAGTTAAAAATGGTCAGAGTTGAATTAGACCAGGAAACATTAGTATTAAAGAAGTGCTCAATACACATATAAAAAGATAAAAAATTAACATGTAGAGCTTTTAAGTATAGAAAATTAGGAGATCAACCGATTCTGCTTACCTTGGTTGCAACCTTTTGCTATCTTCAAGCGATTTCAGTCAAAGTTTGAAACCAAAGTTACAGAATTGGCTGATCTCCTAATTTTTATCTCTCTCTCTCTCACACACACACAGTTCAGGCAATGGATTATTCTCCAGTTGCCCACAATCATCTGAAGAAACACCTACAGTACGGAAACAGGATTGTATTTGTATAGCGGTTTATAACCTGTCTTTGTTATAATTGTTAATAAATATTAAACTCTACTCTGTATTGAGCATTTTTTTAAAATATGTTTGGACATTGGAATTAACCTACCTTACGCTTATGAGATAATGATATAGAGATGATATAAAGATTCTAAGGAAAACTAACTTTCTTAGTACGTTAAAACTTTGTTTATCAGTAAAAAAAAAAAAAAAAATAGTTAATCTGTTAAATGAATTAAAAAGTATAAACAATAATAATGAAAAGTGTTTACTAAGCTAAAAGCAAATATAAAATTGTTTATGTCAAACAATTTTTAATAAAGTAACTTTTACTTACATTAAACAAAAAATATAGAATTACCAATTTTTCATTACATATTTTTAAAAGTAAAATGTGACATCAATTTTGAGCTTATACAGTGAAAGGATATTTCATAGGATAGAGCTGGTCTTTAGGAATATCACCTATAGAGAGAATTCGCTGACCTGAAATTAAATAGAACTAAGAATTAGAGAACTGTAAAGAATGAATATATCACTAATAGATTTAACCTATCCTATTTTTTTTTTTTTTTTTACCATAACAGGCTTTATAAAACTTAAGAAAAGCTAAGTTCAATTAGAATAAAGATTTTTTTTTTTTTAAAATAAACAAATACTACCTTAATTTGTAGTAACCAAATTTGCTTTTCTATTAATCCAAATTTTACTATCCGGCTTTGTTTAATCCAAGTAGCTACATATACAGGGTGCGATGGATGAATTGTCGTCTAAATTATGCAAAAATGAAAATAACACAGACATCTCATTTTAACAAATATATTTACCAAAATGACACTAAAATATCTTGAAATACTAAAGAGTAAATTTATTCAATAAAATCCCCATTGGCTTCAAAAACGGCCTCCAGAATCTCCTACAACTCTTTTTTCTTGATGACTGTTCTGGGTATTACGATAAACTACATCCGACAGCAAAGCTTCTGATCAGGAGGTTTTGAGGAGTGTGGAACCACCTCTTAATTGCTTGTTCCCAGGATAGTAACATGTGCTAGGCAATAAATCTTTAGAAAAAAAATTACCAGCAATACATTTTTGAGAAAAAAAAAAAAAAATTATCAGCACTAAAAATCTTGTTGGCATTAAATAACCCATTGAGGTTGATATGCCGTAAAACAAACCAAACTTCTGAACAGTGTCCTTGTTTAAATTAGTGAATGCTGCCATAATCGTTGCCTTCAGTTCATCTTTGGTGTTACAAGGAGTTTTGTTGCCTTTTGCTCAATTATGTTCCACACATAATATTCAAGGAGGTTGCAGTCTGGGGTTGTTAGGTGGCTAGATGTAAGGGTTGATGTGGTTGCAGAAATTGTCTGACAGCCATGACAGTGTTCTGCAGCTTGTGTGGCATGGTGCAGAGTCCTGTTGTCAAATATAGGGTCTTCCAGCAGCCAGCTTGTTGACTCAGGGCAGCACTACCTCCTCAAAGCACTTGATGTAAAGCCTCAGTGTTGAATCTGACACCCTCACCAACAAATTCAGGAGTTGGTATCAGAACAATATGAGTGAGTTTTCCTAGCTGCTATACCTTCACAATCACCTTAGACTCAATCAACTCTTTCCAAATCCTTTGCAATGTCCTCAGATTGATACCCAAAACACTCTGAAATGTTTGTATTGGAGTTTTCGGCATGAATGCCAAGCAGTACAGCATGCTGTTTCCAAATTTCTGGTAGAGTGAATTGCATCATAGGGCTCTCTTTCTCACAGATGGTGCTCAACTGATCCTACTATACTGTGCAGTTGATAAAATAAAAAGCAATGTGCATATGCAAAATTTAAAATATAAAATAACGATAATTTACCCATCGCACCCTGTAATATTCATTCCACTCTGACGAAAATAAGGTTTTTAATTATAACCAGTTTCATAAAGAAAATTTTTAAAAAATAAAAAATTTACAATCAAAAGCTTTAGAATTATTTTAGCAATGAGTACTTAAAAAAAAAAAATCTAATTGTAAAAAAAAAAAAAAAAAAAGTTATACATACAAAAAATAAAATGCCGATTTATTTTAAAAATTACATTTTTCAACATTTTATAATTTTACTATTGACAGTTCAAAACAGAGTTTACAAATCTAAATGACAATTTTAATATTCATAGAAAGAAATTGGTAAGCCTGTCCCAGAAAGAATTAAAATATTTATAAAACAAAATTAAAACTCTAGAAAAAAAAATATCTGCAAAACCTAGTTAAGATAATTAAGTAAATTATGATTAAAAGCAAAAATTTGAATAAAGAAGATGAATTTGTAGAGTAAGACACCCAGCAGCCAAAGGAGACCAGAGTGAAGTTGTGTCGTAATTGATTGCATACTTATTATATTGATCTATGCCTAATTTATTAAATGCTCCCTGAAGACCAGTTTCATTATTCTGCACATTCATTAGCTTAGTTTTATCTTTGTTATTTTTATAAAATTTCAGTCAATTTTTTTTGTCCTTCCTTAGGCAAATGTTCTAACCAGTGGTCACTTATTTTTGTTTCATCTCAAGAACATAAAAAATTAATACATATAAGAGAATTTTCAGGAAATACTGGAAAAACTTATTTTATCAATGTAAGATCCAATTTCCTGAGGAAAATAGTTTTTCAAGACACTCTTGGAAATTTTGTTAGTTTAAAACGTTTTGACATTTGGCTATATGAACTAAATTGTGCAGTGTTCTTTTGAGATTAAAAGGAAAAAATTTCTTGAAGCAATTTAATGTAACATGAATGTGTGGAAAGAAAGAAATCTGGTGAATAAACATTTTTTTGCCTAAAATAATTACAATATTAAAAATAAATTTACAGATTTTGATTAAAAAAAATAAACCACTTACCATAACTCACAACAATCTTGCTAATTTCTCTAAATAACAAAACACCATTAGGAGAAGAAACATCAAACTGTAATCGTTGAGACCTAATAAAAAAAAAAAAAATATTAACATGTTTATAAGAGAGTAATCATCAGTAAGAATTGAAAAACTAGAAGAATTGAGCTGAGGATGAAAACTTGTGTCTAAAACAGTCTAAACTTCAATATCTTTGAACCAAATATGCTACAATGTTTTTGTGATGAATGAAGAAAAAACAATTTAAAATCAATGAATTTAAAAAACAAAACCTTAAAAACTGCATTGGAAAAATTAAAAATAAATTCCCATGTTATTTGTCTATAATTTATTGGTAAGAAAATAAAAATAAATACAGGACTCAAAGATAATCATTTGAAATGAGAAGGCAGCTGAACAAAGTAAATTTACAAAGTTGCTTGATGACAAAGATAATACAACCATATCAACACCTTACACCATTTAACAAAAGCACAAAATTTTACCAAACTATGTCACACTAGTCATATCTGTTGTTAGATTTAGTAATTTTTTGAAACAACACAGTAAGTCATTCACTAATAGTGGATCTGTTTCAATGTTAGAAAAGATTTGCGTTTGGGAAGGTTTAGGTTTCATCTATATTGCTGTTTTTATGAAATTACTGACCAACAAGCTTCATAAAGAGAGGGAAAGAAAAACCGATTTCAAAGCAAAGATATTGAATTAGTTTAATGTTTGTTAGCTCTACAACTAAAGAAAACCTTCTGAGATCCAATACCAAATCATGTAAATAATACCATTTTTCTTCTTTTATTCTCTACAAATGCAAACAATATGACTATACTAAATAGCCACAGCTAAAAATCTGCACTGAACCATAACTACACATAAAAAGACCCATGAAAAATGGCCTTGCCTGTCAAAAGAAAAATAAACTATTTTCAAGCCCTGTGTCAATATTCTGCTAGTAAACATTTTTTTAAAACAGGTATAAAAATACAAATATATGAGAGAGAGAGAAAGAGAGAAAAAAAAAAGGGGAATAACATTCCATACCGATTCTGAGCCAACTCAGCCATTAATTTAAGCACAGGTGTTGTTACTGATGGATCATGGTACCACAGCTCAATTGCCCGATGTAACACAGGTGTGTAAGTAGGATAGCTGGTTACTGTTAAGGACAGTTGTGATTGTGTTTTTCTGCTTTGCTATCTTGAAGGAGACTTAGTATTAATAAACTCTTGAATATATCTGAATATTTTCATGGAGTCATTTTGATCAAATATAACCCAAAACTTTTAAAGTAAATATTCTCTTGATAATCCTAAAAAATGAGGTTTGTCTAAATGAATTTAACTTTTATATGTGAAATTGGTAAATCATGAAAACCTCAAATGTTTACAATATTTAGTAGAGCTTCAAACAAGAGACAGCAATTGTTACAAAGCATTATATTGCCTCTCCCATAAGATGCTCTGTTCTAATAGACTTCCAAGAGTTGTTTGAATTACTGAAATCATTGAGTTACTTTTATTATTACCACAATGTCTTGGCCTATTCATTTTACAGCCACTTTCTGTACAGATTGTACACCTGGTGAACAGATTGGATGAAACATGATGTTGCTTTTTGTAGTAACAAAGCAGTTCAGGAATCCAAAGTAACTCTTGGAATGATAATGACACTTCTAAAATAAATCAACAGTATCATTAATAGAAGTTTGATAACTTTTAAAGTTTTTTTTTTTATCATGAAGCTTTCTTTTGTTATGGCATGTTTTTAATAGTATGTAAATATTTGGCTTTAAATTTCAAGCAATATTTTCATGTTATACACAATTTTTGTTAAATTTTGATTAAGTTCAATGGAATATCTCTATTAATAAAAGTAACACTTATCAAATTTATCTGTTAACTTCAAAACAAATAGATTAAAAAAACTTCTTGAAAAAGGATACATCCAGTCAAAGTGCATCATGTAGCTTGTTTTTGTGTTAAAGGCAAAAGCTACTCCTCTAAGGTCACGAGCCAAGCCAATTAAGGATCTCTGCAAACAAAACAAAATTGTCAATCAAAATGATGAAAAGACATTATATTACAAAGAATTCAAAATTTAAGATACAAAATTTTAAAAATATCACTAAGTTGGAAGAGTGGTTTAAAGAATTTTCTAGTTATAATGTAGTTACTAATTATTTGAATAGAAAAGAGGGTCTGTAAGTAAGTCACAAGTAGAATTTGACTTGACAGGACCACTTGACAAAAAATTGTCTTGAAAAGTGTAGCACACAGGACTGAAAGGTGTGCGTGTGTATATCTACATAGAAGACTGTTATTTGAAATATCACCATAAAGTGCTTATTCCTAATAAATGTTCACTCCCACCATAAAAAAATTAGAATATTCAATATCCATCAGTGTGAAATAGGTTTAGCATTATTTTTGCAAACTTTATTTTTTTTTTTAAAGTAACATGGTAGATTTCATATGGAGATAATAAGAAAAGAAACACCTTCGCTTCTTCCATTTTATTTGGTGTGTCAGCATTTGCAAGCATATTGCCCACCGCATCAAAAGCAGCTGAAATAAGAAGCAAACAAATTTAATTAGAATATTCATAGAATGTTTACTAGTAAAATTAGTCATCACAAAGGGTTCATTTAATTACCTATATAAAAAGAGGGGGAATATGAGCAAACTTTAAAATGGTTCCAGAACTTTAGGTTTTAACTATCATTTGTTTTCTATTGTACTATCTCTTAGCAAAATCAATTCAAAACTTTTACAAGAAAAAATAGAGAGGGGGGGAAAAAAGTGTCTTACAAAAGTGAAGGAATCAATATAATTTTTTTTCCGTATTCCTAATATTAAACTTCATGGGAATGTATGAATTCTGAATGTAAGCCTTACCTGTAAGTGGTAACATAAATTGATCAAATTTTTCCTCATCTTCACCGAGATCAACAAGTAACAGTCGACCAAGGGCTGTATAAAAAGTGGTCCGACATCGCATATCTGCCATAATATTACTGTTTGTGTTAACACCCAAAAATGGAAAGTGATCACTCTGCATAAAAACAAAACAATATTAGTTTGAAAAGTTATAAAAATAAGTGTTTTTAAATACTTTTAGAAACATTTAAAAATTGAGGGAGGAGGAGGTCCAGGATGAAGGTAAGAACAAAGTTAGCCTGGTGCCCTGAAAACTTACATACACATACACACTGATGTGCCAATAGTCATGGAATGCTGTTTCGTATTATGTAGCTTGGCAAAATACTTTGTTAATAGTTGACAAAGTATTGATTCTACAAAAAAATAATTTGTCAATACTTGACAAAGTATTGATTCTACAAGTGATCAGAAGACCTCTGGAGAAGTAAGCTATGCTATCTCAATAGTTGTCTTAACATACAAATGAACATCTCCATCATATCACATAAATACTCAACTGGGCTTATACAAAGTAAATATGGTGGCCATACCATTCATCGGAACCTCCTAGAATACTTATCAAACCCATATGAATAACCCAACATTGTAAGAATACAAAACATTGCAATATACTAGCCACCAGTCAATGACATATTTAGTTGGACCAGCGAACCCAATAATATATGTCACATGAAGACATTCTACCTACACATTTAGGGAACTACTACCAGCCTTCACAATGCCTTATTTTGATAACTAGGGTTCATAAACTCATGTATATACAACACACCCAAACTTTAAAATTATCAAGAAACAACTCAAATGGTGTACTGATGACATGTTAACAGGGGGATCCAGGTGGGTCTTCTGTTCCTACATCCCACAGAAACTAAAGAATATGAACTGACCTGCTGGATATACATCTGGTATCTCCTGCATTGTGATTTGAGCATTACTGCTAACCATGATCTGGTTACTGCACTGCTCATGGTAGGCAACAATGCCTACCATCAAGTATGCCTTGCAATATAAGTAATAATATAATAAATGATAAAATAATGGTATTGTAAGTTAGTTATATAATTATTCTTTATAGGTTATTTTATTTTATTTATTTATATATTTTTTTTTTTATTGTAACCTGACCACCGACGTTAATTATAACCTACCCTTATTTGCTAATGATTTAATCTATGACCTTGATAGTTAATGTTTATTCAGCATTTGATATTGAATATTTGTGCATTAATTTTGCATGGACTCAGAATCCAAAATTGTTATCTGTGCATACATGTGCGTATGTATGTATGTATGTATGTATATGTGGTTCTTTGTATATCTGTTTATGTGTGTGCATATACATATGTACACACACATATATACAGGCATAAATGTATGTATACATATATTTATGTGGGTATGTTTATGTGTTTGTATATGTATATTTGCATATATGTGGGTGTTTTATTTGTATGTTTGTGTGTATATTTTTGTTTGTACACACGAGTTTGATTGTTCGTATTTATGTATATATATGTGTGTGTGTGTGTGTGTGTGTGTGTGTGTGTGTGTGTATATGTCTTTTCTATTGCTTTGTTTATAGCCTGATATGTGTATTTCAACTACACATATGTATACATCGTACATGTATATACACTTCTTATTTCTATTATATCCTCTTTATATCTGTATGTATGATTGCATATGCATAAATATTGATGGTTGATTTGTGTAAATTTATTACTGCGTTTATGCTTGGTTTTTGGTGAGTCCAATTATTTGAAAATTTGTATGTATATGTGATTGCCTGTATATGCTTTTACCTGTATATACATACACCCTTGTGCAAATTAATTGAATCAACTGCTTTAGATTTCCTTTGTTTCACCATATGGTCAATTGTAAACCCACTGGAATGACAGAGTGTCATAGATTTCTGTTTTTTCTTCAGATTAGGTCAATTGCAGTGGTGAGCAGTAATATGAATCTATTTTCGGAGTGTATGATGAAATTTGTTTGGCCTCAAAAAATATTGCATCATCTGCAATTGCATTATATTTTCATCATGCCCAGACACTATAGTCTCGACTGTCAATTAGTTGTCCTATGGTTATTGTCTGTGATGGACATTACTCCAAGGAAGCATACGAAAATTGTAACTCTGTATGAACACAATGGCAAGCCTTACCAATGAGCATATCAAAGTATTATTGACTGGCTCGGAAAATCTCCTGATTTAAATCCAATAAAGAATCTGTGGTCAATCTGCAAGGAAAGACTTTGTGGAATGGACATAGGAAGTACTAACATGTGTGCTGGGTCATGTTTCATTGGAAGAATATGAAAAAAAAAAAAAAAAGTAAATAATAACGGAATTATTCATTTTGTTTCAATTAATTTGCACAAGAGTGTATATCTGACAAAATTTTCTTTTGCGTGCTTTTATATGTGTCTTCATTTTTATTTCTTTTTCTATTTTTTTTTCTATTTTCCTTCCTCTATTTCCTATGTGAATATACTTCTCTGTATTTTCATGCTTATATATTTACCTGCCTTATACATACATATTTGTGCATTATTATGTGGACATGTTTGTCCTGTCATTTGAAAATTCCCTTCTCTCCCTACCTCCTTATTTGAATTCTGACTTCCATGTATGAAATATATGTAGCGATCGGTGATACTTTTTTTTTTATCAGCGTCAAACTTAACTGATAAATTGGCACTTTGTGAACAATAATAAATTATAAATATTTTTTCTCCTTTAGTTAGCTAGAATTTGAAGTTCTTAATTTTAAATTAAATTTAATTTTTATATTGATTTCTAATTTAATCTAATCTTATCTTTAATGCACTAATAGATTGCACTTATACCAGAGTATTTTGTGATGTTATTTTAAATTACCATATACTTATATTTTGATTGGTTATCTAACAAAGGTTCCCCTACTGAGGGGGATTGGTTGGCTTTTGATCTCAAAACTGTTTATTTTCCATTCAACATCCTCACTTGATAAGACACCAGCAGTGTTGAAACAAAATTGCAACTTTTGTAGTTATCTTATAATATGTAGATGTTATAAATTTGAATAAATATTATTAGCTCTACTTGGTATTGAGCACTCTTAAGAATAGGGTTTTTGATTATTGGAATTTTATTCTATGTGTGCCAACCCTGTCTCATAAAACAAATATTAAAGTAAAATATTTCAGAATAGCTTTTTAAGTTCAAATCCACAGCAATATTGTAGTATTCATTTAAAGGAAATCTGAAAGACTTCTTACAATTGCTTCAATCTTGTATTTGACTAATAGTGCATAAACAAAATTTGTGTGTGTGTCATGTTATATATTTTGTGTAGATTATTTTCACCAATTAACTTTAATAGTAATCCTTCTCAGAAGATTTTGTGTGAAATTCATTTTGGAAGAATAGTACATGAAATATGGTCCAAGATTTTGACTAAGTTATCATCATGGTAGGTAGAGATAAATGGTGTTTCATAGAACTAGTGATGTAGACAAAGAGTATTGTGACATGAAGTACACACATACACATACAATTGGACTCTTAAATTATAATTGTTTTTTATTTATTGATGATTGTTTTAAGAATCATAAGTCTGTTTTTATTATTTGATTTTGCTAGTATTTTGGTATTGTTTGTGAGTAGTCATATAATGTTACTATGTTCCTTATGCTACTTATTAATATGTTGTCTGATGGCACTTTGGTCCGATAGGTGAAATGTGAATCTCCATGAGAGTGTGGTTGTGGTATATCCTATGTAAGATGTTTTGCATTTTTTATTTACAGAGAAACATTCTCCAAGTAGTTAAGTATATTTATACACAACATTCGCCATATATAGGGGTGATAAGTTAGAAGCCATTGTCAAAATACAAGATAAATAAGACAAATATTATTAATAAAGTTTGCAATGAAAAGAAAAAGGTCAAAAAAGATGAAACAGCAACAGCCAAGCAAGCAATATAGTTAAAGCAAATCAAACAGGTAAGAAGGCAAAAGAATTCAAACTGAGTTGGTGTTTGTACACAAAAGTAAGGTCGGACAAGCGAATGCAGTAGGTCTGTCTAGTAGTTAAGGCAGATCTGGTCTGAATCATGTCAAAATGCAAGCCATCCCATTTTATTGGCTAAGTAAAATATCCCAGCATGCATTTTGTGTCCTTCTGACTATGGGAGGGGGAAAACTTTTGCAATCATTCCCAATAATTTTAGGAAATCAACACTACCCACTTCAATCTAAATGGATGAGTGCACGCATTACACCCCCCACCTTTCTCTGGGGCTAATAAATATAAACAAAATAGATGCAAAGCATACATATACATAATTTGCATACACCATAAAAAGAATTATTTTTTAATAAAAATTTCTTTTTATATTTTCATCATTATCCCTTTTACAAAAAAAAAAAAAAAAAAAAAAAAGGGAGGGAATAAAAAACAAAAGCTGTGGCAATTAAAATGCAAAAAACGTTCAGTATAGCGCCCCATTTAGAGCAGTAAAACCTTTAATTTTGTTCTGTTGATATGTTTAGTAAACAAATCGGCAACATTTTCTTTCATTGGAATATAGTCCAATTTTATTGTACCTTTTTGAATTTCAGTCCTTATGAAGTAGTACTTTCTGTCTGTGTTTTTAACGTTGATGGTAAAATGGGTTCTTAGCTAAAGCAATAGTACCTTGATTATCGCAATAGATTGTGGCTTGGTCTTTAGTTGCATTAATTATGGTGGCTAATAATTGAGTAAGGAATTTTGTTTCTTGTATGGCAGCTGTGTACTCTGCTTTGCATGTTGATAATGCAACTGTAGGTTGCTTTCTTGTTTTCCACAAAATCATTGAACTGTTTGGTCCTAATTGGAAACTGTATTCTGTAATGTTACAGCAATCTTTTGAATTTTTTTCAGTTCTCTTATTTCACTTTCACTTGGTATAATACATTTTTCTCTCAGCAATTTCCTTGCTGTGGACATTTGGTTCTATTTCTAAAGTTACTGTTTTTGTTAATGTTTTTGCATCTTTTTTGCTATTAACCCAATAGAGCAATACGTTTTAAGAACACTATTAAAAAAAAAAAGAAAAGAAAAAAAAGGCCACCTATTTTTAAAATCACTAAGTATGAAACAGTGCAGTAAATAGGTAAAAAAATAAAATAATTTTTTGTGTTAAAACGCTCTTTTGAAGGAATATATATATTAAGTTCATATACGTATATATAAAGTTTATCCATATTATAACCTAACATTTGCAGGTTCTCTTTTCTCTTTAAAATATATATTTTAAAAAGCCACAAACATTTTTGATTTGATTTTTTCATGCTTTATTCTGTATATTTCACTATACATGTTCTGGGTCTTGTGACCTCCTTCAGATGAAGAATGGCTAGTTCAGCATATTACTTAAAGGAATGAATGTTTTCTTTCCATGTTAAATCTTTTAACAATTGTCTTTTGTCTGTTGTTGTAGTAGTAGTGATCTGAATCCATCTTGGATTGGCCAAAAAATATTCTTCTGATTGATTGGTAATAAAATAATTAAACTTGGTCAAAGAAAGGGAAAGAGAGGAGGATGTCTTTGTTTTCATCTTTTTATGGCCCCCTGTATCTTTTCATGGTGTCTTCCTTTTTCTATTCTTGTGTATTGTGTGTGTATATATATATATATATATATATATATATATACACACACTTTCTTCATGCATATATATTGTATTATTATAAGGAAACCTATATAGTATATATACACTTTGTATGGTGAGTGTATGTGATACCTGCCTAGTATGTTTGTTTTTGCCAGCATCAGTGTATATATTCGTTCTAAATACATATATAATATTAAATGTACTTTATATCTATAAAAAAAAAAAAAAAAAAAAAAAAAAATCAAAAATAAAAATTTTCAACATAGATATTTAAAACCTAATATGATTCTCATCTATGAATTGGCAATAGCATACCAACACTTTAATGATTAAGAAATAAACAATTTGTTTTCTTAATAATTACTCATAGTTCATAATATATTCTACTGTATTTAGTTTTAGATATTTAAATAATTTATATGATTATAGAAGATGAATCACTTGAGAATTTGAACACTATTTGTTGAGAGATCAGCTAACCAGTCAATTGATAATTAAAATACTTACTGTGTGATTGTTGAGCATTAGCTGTACCGCTTCTAGTTTCACCAATTTGCGACCACTGCTATAGCCGACTGATAAGTCACTTAGCAACAGAAGTGTCTTGGTAATTATTTGTTCACTTCGACCCCAATATTTAAGATTCGTGATGCTGGAAAGAAATCAGATAAGTTAGGCTCAACTTCAAACACTTAGCAAGTAATTAAAACAAAATTATACATAAAACACTAAATGTAATCATTTGGATAAACTACTTAAAATCTTGATTAAAATAAGCAAAATTTATAGCAAAAATTATATGGATAATGCTGTTTGCTTGTATTCATTTGACAAAATAGTGTTGAAATGAAATTTTTTTTTTTTTTTTATTATACATGGTAAGAAAATGTATGAGTGAAAAGAAAGACGCTTCTCAACTTACATTTTTCCAATGAAAACACTCAAAACCATGGACTCGTCACTCAATCCTAATACTTCAGATAACCTTCGATACACCTGAAGAAGTAAAAAAACAAGAAATAAACAAAAAGTAGAAAAGAGTAGTGTATTCAAAATTATAAATTTATCATTCATTTCATTGTTCACAATCAGTTTTTTTCAACATAAAATATATTTAATAAAATCTTTTTTCAGATTAAAATATCAGCAATATTTAATACTTTATACTTCATGCCAAATCAATTAGAAACATGACGAAAAAAAAAAAAGAATTTGGAAGAGTTCTTATTCTTGAATAAATACTTGTCATGATTGATTGTTTATTTGTTTTACCAGCACATCAAAACCCCTGTGGGTCATTTAATGCTGAAACTTTTAAGTGGTTGTGAAGTTTTAAAATTGTTTTAAAAATATCACAAGTTGTATAGTTTGAGAGTATTTCAAAACCTAAGTTGTATGGTTCAAAATCCAAGCTCTCTTTTCTATAGAAGTAGAACTATTTTATTTTCTTCAAATATCCTATTATTTGGATAGTAGGTACATTTTTGAAGAACATGTTAAGAATTTGTGCTTGGTAATAGTTGCAACACATTTTTTTTTAGTGCTTCTTACATTCTATCAAGATATGTTTGACTGTGAGAAATTGATTGCAGTGGGTACACTGAGGTGTAGTTTTTGGCTTGAGTGTGTGTGTATCTGTATTTAACCAATTCTTATTCTGTTGAGCACTTTGTTTTGTCTGCAATCAGCTAATGGTTTTATATTCTTTCTTATTGTCGGCTGATGTTCATATAGTTCATTATTTGGAAACATGTCCCAAATTGCATGCCATTTTCTTTTGATATGTTGTGAAATTTTGTTTTTATAATATATATATATATATATATATATATATATATATATATATATATATATATATATATTAGTGGAATATATATATATATATATATATATATATATATATATACAGAGATATAGATAATATTAGTGGAAAATATAAGGTTTCATCTCCCTCCTCCTCATACTTACACTTTCTCTAAATTCTATTTTGATTTCTGGAGTTGTTTTTTCTGTTTTCATTTTGAATTTGTAGGTCTGATGATTTGGATCGTATTTACAATTCCAATGGAATAAATTATGACCATGGAATATTAGTGTTTAAGCCTTTTTATTATATATATATATATATATATATATATATACAAGCCATTATTGTTTTATGCTTTATTAAATTATGACAAGTTTCTTGGATTTCTTGAAAACAGAGATGATATGTGTTTTTATTTAATTGCTGTTAAATTGGATAGGAAATATATAATATTCTCAGACTCCCTACCTTTTGAATGTTCTATCATTTTAAGTGTCATTTTTATAGCTTCTAGTTCAACTGTATAGATGGGTGCATTAGTTGTTAGCCTTGTTTGTGGCTGCTTCACCTATTCTATCTAGGATTTTTGATCCATCTGTGTAGAGAGGTTTATCGTCACAATATTTGTCTCTTAATTCTCCATATATGCTTTTGTTGATTGCATCAATGTAAGGTCTATGTGAGGTTTGGTGATTATCCATAGAAGTATCTTATTTATTGTGAATGCTGTTATGTTATCAAGATCTTTGTTTATTTGTTCTAGTGCTTCTTTGATTTGAAGACCAAATGAAGGGATGGCTGTTGGCTTATTTCTATAGATCTCGATATATTGAGGTTCATATGTTTTTTGGTATGCTGTGTTATTTGGGTTGGATTGTAGTTTTAGTGCATATTGGAGGGATAATTTTTCCCATCTTAGAGATATACAGGTGATTCCTTGGCTTCTATATAGAGACTTTGGATGAGTGAAGCCCGGAAGGCTCAGAGACTTAATCTCAGGAGTTGATTTTGTAAGGTTTGTAGTTTTTTTAAGATAGGATTTATGTGTGGCACTGTAAATAATGTATCTATAATCTAGTTTTGATCTGATGTGTGACCTATATATTCTAAGCATTACTTTTTGGTGGGTACCCCAGTTCATTCTAAGCATTACTTTTTGGTGGGTACCCCAGTTCATTCTAAGCATTACTTTTTGGTGGGTACCCCAGTTCATTCTAAGCATTACTTTTTGGTGGGTACCCCAGTTCATTCTAAGCATTACTTTTTGGTGGGTACCCCAGTTCATTCTAAGCATTACTTTTTGGTGGGTACCCCAGTTCATTCTAAGCATTACTTTTTGGTGGGTACCCCAGTTCATTCTAAGCATTACTTTTTGGTGGGTACCCCAGTTCATTCTAAGCATTACTTTTTGGTGGGTACCCCAGTTCATTCTAAGCATTACTTTTTGGTGGGTACCCCAGTTCATTCTAAGCATTACTTTTTGGTGGGTACCCCAGTTCAGTTTTGATATTACCTTTAGAAGCTTCAAAGCCTTTGGGTATTTTTGTTTAAGGTAATCAATGTGTGCTTTAAAGATAAGTTTGCTATCTAGTATGATTCCTAGATATTTGTTGGACTATGGGAATTGTGTTTTCATTGAATTTTAATTCTGGATCAAGGTGGAAGGCTCATTTTTTGCAGAAATGCATACAAACAGTTTTTCCTTTGGAGAAATGGAATCCATTTCCATTTGTCCATTTTTCTATCTTGTTTAAACATATTTGTATATATCTTTCAAGGTAAGGCATATTTGGTGATGAATATGATATTGAGAAATCATCTACATAGAGGCATTTTTCAATTCCTGTATTAATGGTTTTAATAATGTAACTGATAAAATGATACCGAGGTACTCCTGCCTCCTGCTTGTGTGCCTGATGTGTTTCCATTTCGTACATTGAATGTTCAAGTTTGATAGCAAGTTTTGGATGAATATAGCCATTCTTCCTTTTATTCCCACCTTGTGCATGTCTTTTAGGATACTGTACTTCCATGTGATGTCATAGGCTTTTTCAAGATCGAAGAATATTGATACATGATGACCTTGAACAAAGCCATCATGAATAAAGGATTCAAGCTGTATCATTGGTCGCTTGGTTTTTCTGGAAGCCACTTTGGTAACTAGATAAGAGATTGTTTTGCTCCAATCATCACATTAGTCGAGAAATTACCATTCTCTCCATAGTCTTGCAAATGCAACTTGTTAGTGCAATGGGTAAGCAGTTTGTTGGGTTGGAGTGAGGATAGACTCAAGCTATAATTTTGGAAATTTCCAATTTATCTGGACCAGTTGCAGAGTTTTTACTTTTGTTTATGGAGTCTTTTAGTCCTGTCATAGTAAAGAGAATATTGTATTCTTCTTTATTGTTTGAAATGAATAAATTTTTCTTGTTCCATGTTTTTATATTTTTGAAATTTGGGAGTGTAGTGATTTGAAGTTTCTTTGAAATTCTGTTCCTATTATGTTAGCTATTTCTTTTTTCCCAGTGCATTTATTTCCATTTGTTTTGGTTAAGTGGACTGTTGCAGTTTGTGATATTTTTCTATTAATTTTCCTTATTATTTCACATGTCTTATTTATTGGGGTTTTGTTGTTTAATTTGGAGATGTAGTTTTTCCAAGTTTCTCTTTTGGGTTTTTTAATTATACAGCATACTTTTGCTTGAGCTTGATTGTAGTTTGGTTATGTAAGAATATAGTTAGCATTTTTTTCCTGGTTTTAACTACTTTGATTCTGCTGTGAACCAGGGTTTTGATTTACTATGTGGTTTAAAGGAAGATTTGGGTATTGTCTGTCTTGCAATTTCTGTTAGTATGTTTGTAAAGGAGAGTATTGGTTCTGGTTCATTGAAGTTTACCTAATTAGCTTTATGTAGTTACCATTTTAAATTCTTTTCTTCTGTCACAAGCTTGTTTATATTTAGAAAGATAAGTGAATAGTCACTACTGCATTGATCTTTATGAATTTTCCATTGAAAGTCCATAAAAATTGATGAGTAGTATGTGGTTAGGATGATGACTGATGTTGACCTGGTACCTGGATGTAGGTATGTGTGCATTTGGTTATCAAAGATATATATATATATCAAAAGATTCTACTAGAGATTCTATGATTTTACCAGTTTGATTGGGGGTTCTATGGCCCCACATTTTGTTGTGTGCATTAAAATTTCCCATTAGTAGAAAAGGAGTGGGAAGTTAGCCAAATAGCATTTCTATTTCAGTCTTATTCAGTCCATATTTTGGTTTGTTTATTTTTCCAGCACATCAACCCACTTGGGTCATTTAATGCTGAAAAAAAAATAAAACAGATTTCTATTCAATAATATCTTACAATGTTTTAAGTTTTAAAATTTGTGAAATATAATAGGAAGTTAATTGTATAGATCATCTGAAGATGAAGTTGTTTCAATTAAATTTTGGTGCATAATTTACTTTTCCTTAGGTAAAGTCAGAATGGTTTCTTCACTAACATTTTTAAAAAGATCTTTAAGGCTATTCACCTTATAAAGGTGTTTACAGATAGGACCAAATTCAGCACAGTCCCTGTGTTTTGGAGGAATATAAACATAATAGTTATTGTTTGATGAATTGAAGCTTTTATTGCCATGGTCTGTAGATTTGTATTTAATTGTTTTTCATGGGGTATTGATTTTTTAACCAATTTTGAAGTAACCCCTCTTGGCCTGTTCTCTATTTTTGATAGATTAATTTTGTGGTAACTTTTATAGCCTTTAAAGGAGATGTTAGCAGTTTCTTTGAAAAACATCTCCCACAAGCAGACTATATTTAAAGTTGTTTGATTTCCTCTACAGTTCCATTGTACGATGCTTGTGTTCTATTTCTCCATTTGAGCGGTAATCATTTTTATTTTTGTGAGTAGATCTTAAGGCTGATTATGTTTTTGGTTTCTGTATTAAGTAGCAATATTTCCTTTCCATCGTAAGATTTTTGTTATGTCATCATGTTTATGATGTGTTGAGGATGTAGAATCCATATGGATTTCCAGTTATTCAAATTTTTCAGACTTCTTTGTTTGGCTATTTTGGGTTGGTTTTTGGTTTTTATCTTTTTCTCTTGTTTTTAAGATAAGTCTATATCTTTTTATCTTTTCTTTTTCTTCAGTTATTGAGTTATGGTTTAAGTCGGTAGTGGGAGATATTTCCATATTTATTATGTTGGTCTTTAAGGCTTTCATGAGATTTTACAATTCATTTATTAATGTTGTTGTGCTTGTTTTACTTTTTGTCAGATTATTTCCTAGATTTTTCATTTGGTGGTGCTTTGGTGATTTTTGCATAATTTTGTATAGAGAAAGAGATTTCTATAAGTTTTCTTGCCTCTGGGATTGTAATGTTTTGAGCAATTTTCATTTTTATTATTTCTTTTTCTCAGGTCTTGCATACTTTAGTATCAGCTCTGTGATCTCCATTGCAGTTGATACATGTAAAAATCAACCAAAATGTATCATCATAGTTTGATTTCCCCACATCTTGCACATGTTTGTTTTCCTGTACAATACTCCTTTAGATGTCCATATCTTTGACATCTTCTTGGATTTGGAACATCTTCTTTGGCTATTAAATACCCAATTTTAATTTTGAATGGTGGCATCAGAGTACTGAATCTATATATATATATATATATATATATATATATACACACATGTGTGTGTTTGTATTTATTATCTGGTTTTGTTTTTTAATTATCCTTTTGACATTAGTCACATTGTTTTTTTGTTTTTTTTAACTTGGCTTTAATTTCTATGATACAGAGTGATTGATCTCCATTATGAACTACATCTCTGGAGATATTTAATCTTTCATGTGGATATGTTTTACATTAATGTTATGGAATTTTTTCATCTTTAACAATATGCTCACATGTTTTTTATTTTGTATTTCTACCAGGATGGTTCCATTTTTTAAGTTTTTTTACTGACTTAGGATTAATCATTGTGGATATAACCCTCTGTATAAGGAATGATGATAATATAGTTAATGGCACCTCCTCTCTAGATTCTAGTATTATTAGTACCTCGGCCTGCTCTTGATCAGAATCTGACTCCATGTGGAGGTCTTTTCGCTTTGGTTTTTCTTTCTGTATCCATATAATAAAATTATGCTTCCCCCGACTGTACCCCCACCCACCCAGAGCCCTACAAGGGGAAACGCTAAGAGGAAAGCCCATTTGCCCTGACAGATCAGGGTTACACAGTATATTCATGCCATGATGAGGTAATAATTGTTTTACCTCCTTAATTCCCAAGTTAACTTTTTCCTGAGGCATAGTTTGAAACAATCATCCCTTCTTAGCATGATTTCCCCTACAGCCACCACCTTCTGATTCAGCTTTTTCCAGAGTTTGTGAGTATCTGAATCAGGGCTTGGCATGACTAGCCGGCTGATCAGATTAGGTCTCTCTGACCACTGCCTAGCCCAGGTAAAGGCCAAAGTGATGTGTTAAAATTCAGGAGTTAAACCATCCCTCCTCTTGAACTTGAAGCCCACAATCAGCAGGATCCCATCCCCAGACATCATGGGTCGCTACACACAGCCAACAGGTGGCCTCATTGGGGTGGTCTTACTCCCCTGTCCCAGGCAACAGGGTGTAATATTTGTCATGAATCATGTAAACATAAGAATCATTTCACTAAGCTTAACTGATAAATTTTCATTGGCCATTATTTTAATCTTACCTTAGAAGTTTTTTGAACTTGATCACCAACATAAATTTTTCTGAATTGTTCAAAGAAACTTAAAATAGCCAACTCCAACTTTTCACAACCACTCTGTTGCAATCGAGAGTCAGTAAGATTCATCAACTGTAAAACTCTGAAAAGTTTCAGAAATCAGACAAAAAACAAAAAAAAATTAATGAAATTACTTTTCCACAAATTTAAAATGGTTAAAGCAACTCCCCCCCTTTAGTTGCAGCCACCATTCCAATACATTCCTATAGCTTTTCAAATTGCTTACAGATGTAAAAGTTGGAAAAATATTGAGGAGACACATTTTAATCCAATAAATTTCTAATTTAGATATCCAAAATTTGTCACAAAGCAACTGATATTAAATTTGAGTAATTTATAAATACAGTGAATGAACAGAAAAAAAAAAAAAAAAAAAAAAACCATCTCCCAAAGAAAATTTGCAGATTGGTTTACAGTGGACCTTCATGAAGTAACTGGAAGATCTGGATTTCGCAGGCGATATCAGCCTTCTCTCCCACAAACAAGATGTGCAGGAAAAGCGGAGTTGTGTTGCAGAAGTGAAGAAGACTCACCTCCAAATCAACATCGGGAAGATGGAGGTCATGAGGGTAAACAACAGACAAGACCCAGTGCAACTACACAAAGAGATCAAGGAAGTCGTTAAGTTTGTCTACCTGTGAAGCGTTGTCAGTAAAGATGTGGGCATAGTTGAAGACATCAAGTGCTGAATCAAGAAAACCCTACAAACTTTCAACACTTTGTGGCCAATCTGGAGATCAACAGCTCTCTCACTTTAAAACAAGATTCAGTTCTTCAACACCAACATCAAGTTGGTCCTACTTTACAGCTCAGAAACCTGGTGGGTAACCTAGACCAACACCCACAAACTTCAGACATTTACCAACCGATATCTCAAGAACATCCTTAATATCAGGTGGTTTTCTCCAACGACCAACTGTGGAACAGGATCAGACAAGCCCCAATCGAAACTGACATCAAGAAACAGAAAGGGTGATGGATCGGCCACACACTCTGCAAGCCTGCTTCTAGTATCACCAGGCAGGACCTTGACTGGAATCCACAAGTGAAGCAAAAAGTGGGTTGACTAAAACAGTCTTGTCACAGAAGTGAAGGCAGCCAGCATGACATGGGCCGAGCTGAAGAGGATCGGCTGGAACCACATCCATTGGAGAGGTGTTGTTGTGGCCCTATGTTCCCCAAGGAATCAAGAGGCATAATAATAAAATAATAAAACTTTGCAGATAGAAGTAATATTATTATTAAATATAATAAATACTATAATAATAATTGGTTAGAATTATAGAAAGAATATTACTGTTACCATCACATTACATGATTATTTTTATGATTTCTTTTTATCAAAGACGATGGCTGGTCAAAGATGTCATCTGCTACTTTAATCCCAACAACACAAGTCATTTTGGATAATTATCATTGCCTTTAACTAACTTCAAATATATTTCCTTTACAACCATTATTCAAGGCTAATCCATTGACATTTTTTTCCCACTTTTTGGATAATTAGTAACTAACTGTAGTTTCAGATGATGCAAATTCAACAAATAAACCATCTAGCTTTTAGAAATAATTTTAAGATTTTTATCAAATAATTTGGGAAGAAAAAAATCAATTATGAATTGGCCACCATTGCAAGTGATTTTGCCAATATAACTCAGATTCATAAAGCAATGGCATAAAATAAATGTACTCTTAGACAAAGTACATTCTTAAGAGGGTGTTCGTTTTTAAAAAAATTACATGAAACAAGAAAAGTATTTCTAAAGTTAAATCAAAATAAAACTTTGATAGAGCCTAAACTTTTTATTCAAGAAGCGATAAGACAAAAGCAATAATTTTCAAATGACTTACCTACAGACTAATTCACCATCCATTGCATCATGTTCGTCTGTGCTTGCAAAAGATACCCTTCCACCAACAACAGCACCAATTATATACACTAACCAGGTAAGACGCCCTGAAAAGCAACCAACTCATTTAAGTCTAAGGAGACAAGACTACAAATAAAGCAATACTAAAGCAGCATTATCGAGATGTCAGAAATTTATAAAATGCCATCAAGGCCTATATTTAAATAGTTAATCAGGTTATTGTAAAATATTACCCATTTAAAGTGATAGACAATCTTCTTTTTAATGCATTTTATATAAAAGTAAATATATAGAAATATATATTCAAATTTTATCCTAGCTCTCTTATAACAAGAAAAAATAAACTGAATACTGACTGTTTAACAAATAGATATTAACAAATATTGCTAACAGCATCCATTAGCAAAAGGCAATCTTGTTGCACAATTTAAGAATATATATTAGAGACATTGTTTGAAATGAAACTCTCTCTCTCTCTCTCTCTATATATATATATAAAATAAATTAATTGATTTAAAATGTTTTTTCGCTACACAGTTCTAACCATGTTTCAAAAATGGAAGCTAAAAGCTTCGAATTTAATTTTGTAATCAAATTAAAGACATTAGTTCCATTTCATCCTCAAGCAAAAAAAAAAAAATTTGCTTGAGGTTGAAACGGAACTAATGTCTTTAATTTGATTACAAAATTAAATTCGAAGCTTTTAGCTTCCATTTTTGAAACATGGTTAGAACTGTGTAGCGAAAAAAAAAAAAAAAAAAACATTTTAAATCCATTAATTTATAATATTAACGCTCTGTAAATTTACATTGAGCACTATTTTGTAAAAATAAAAACATCTATAAGAACACCGGATTATATATCTTACTGTTCTTTCTTTCTTTCTTACATATATATATGAGGTACCTCCACAAGATCGCTAAAAAAAAGAGCATAGCATGATGAAAAAAAAACGACAAACTTGACGAAAACAAAGTTTTATCGTCTAAATGTTTATTTTATTAAGAGGAAAGATCAAAGTATTTTGGGGGTATTTTTTTTTACATTTTTTAATCGTTTCTAGAACATCCAAAATTTTCGTTAAGAATCTCGTTTTTTTTGAGTCATCAAAATTGACCATTTTTTCCATTTTATAAAAAAACTGGAAATCTCACTTTGAAATTCTTTTAAATATCAATTATCATTTTTCAAAACTTATTTTAAGAAAATCAGAAATTATAATGTTTATTTAAAAATATTTTAAACCAAGCTTAACTTAGCTTCTGCACCGAAAAGATGTAATTTGAAAATAAAACAAAGCAGGTCATAAACTTTCGCATCACTTGACAGGTGATGAATGACATATTGACGGATTCCGTGAGGATAATTTGTTCTACGGAAGGAGAAAAGTGAAATTATTTAGATTTAAGTGAACAAATTATTTACCATGTTATTTTTAAGGAAAATCTTCAGCCCTCTAATTTTTTTTTTGTACTTAGCTTTCACCTTTACGTTTACGATGCTTTATGGAAAATATATTAAAAGAAATTAAAATAAGACTTAAGAGTGAGATTAAATTTCATATTTCATAAGAAAGAAATATTTCATCTAATTAATTTATAGGTACCTTTCTTATGAAATTTTTATCAGAAGTGTACATAAAATACTATAATTTTATGTACATTTATTACATTTTACTGTGTTATTTGTATTTCCATTCATTTTATTATTAATTTTGATATTTCATTTATGGAAAAATGTCGTAACTTAGATTAATATAAAAATAAGATCATATAAATTTCATAAGATGATACTAATACTTGTAGGTACCCTTCTCAGTTGAAATTGAAAAATCAAATTAACTTCTCTACACGTGTTTCACACAAGTAAAGGCCTTAACAGCGGCGAACAATGCTTAACTCAAATAACCCAACTTATATGTATTCTGGTTGGTCTTCCATACTTTATAATTACAACCTGATTATAAACACAAAATTAAATTTCTTGATTACTGTGGATCTTTTGATTGGTCAAAATGCTACAATTTACAACACGCTAAAAAAAGGTCATCTCATAAGGATACTTAGGAAACCCGATGCGGCTTTTAACTAATTTTATAATATTTGAACAACTTAAATGTAAAAATCTATTATAATTAAGAAATAACAAATAATTGTATTAAAAATTCATTTTTCATCAAAAAAAATTTTTTGCTTTCAGAAAATAATGTCCATATTCATAAAAACAATTAAAAACAAATAAAAGCATTTGAAATTAAATAATATCTTTGTTTTGAGTTTTGTATGTTACAATTCAGAGCTGATTTTCAGGTACGTTGGCTCCAATTAAAAACAAACAAAAAAAAAAAAACATGATTTGCATTCCTCAAAGCCTTGTGCTTTTAACTATTGTAATCATTCAACTAGACTTGATCAATTTCTAAAAATTTTCAAAAATTGGGGGGGATAAATATAAAAAAAAATTATATATTTCTACCATGACTTTAAAAAAAAAACACAAAAAAAAAAAAAAAATTTATAATAATTTTGATCATCTGTGAATAGTTCTTGAAAGTTTCATTAACATCCGACAATTATTTATATTTTTGCAAGATTTTCCAAATTAATGTGTCATACCAAAAAAAAAAAACGTGCTAAAAATAGTCTATTTCCTAGTTTCGCTGATACAAAGAGTAACAAGGTTTTTTTTAATCAAAATTTAGAATGTTCTAAAAAGGAAAATTTTTAAAAAATAATTAAAAAAAAAAAAAAAAAAAAAACTTTGGTCTTTCCTCTTAATAATAACAAGCATTTAGACGATAAAATTTAGTTTTCAGCAAGGTTGGCGTCTTTTCATCAAGCTATGCTCTTTTTTTTTAGCGATTTCATGAAGGTACCTATATATATATTATATATAATAAATTAACTGATTTAAAATATGTTTTTTTTCACTACACAGTAATAACCATGTTTCAAAAATGGAAGCTAAAAACTTTAAATTTAATTATATAAAAGAATCCAATAAAACACCTACACTAAAATGGAAATTAATAAGAAAAGCTAAAATATGTAGGTCATTAAATGCCCCATGTCCTTTGTGCATACATGAGAAACTATATATTACTAAGTTTATAAAGAAAAATTTACTGAATCAGAGAAATGAAATAGCTATTTTTTGCAGTCATTGTCAAAAATTTTCCTTAAATAATATTTAAAAATAAAATTAAAAAAAATGGAAGCTGGTAATATACATACTTATATTTGATATGAAAAAATAAATTTAAATAATGTAAGTAATTCTATTACATTTACTTGTTTTTAAAAAGAAATATAGTCTATTAGGAATTAAGAGTAAAAATATTTTAAAATTGTAGTTAAATAAAACTTATGCTAACCCTTTAAATACCCCTACAAAGAATCTTTAAGTATATACAAGAAAAAAATGCTGAAAAACTTTTTGCCGTTAATAATAATAAAAAAACCCTAGACGACATGCATTTAACGGATGTCAGAATTCATTGAAAAATACACCCCATACCCACCCTAAACTTAACCTCTTATTCAAACGTAACTCATAATTGATACAATAGTTAATAAAAATGTACACGCTACCGCCCGTCTAAATGACTGGATTTCTCTGTATATTTGGAAACAGTAAAATTATAAATTTATATGTGCATTTAAAACTCAGTAAATTTAAAAATAAGTTATTCGAATATTCACTTGAAGATGAAACAGAACTAATGCTTTTAATTTAATTACATCATTAAATTTAAAGTTTTTAGCTTCTATTTTTGAAACTTGGTTATTACTGTGTAGCGAGAAAAACAAAAAACAAAAAAAAAACATTTTAAATCAGTTAATTTATAATATTTATGCTATGTAAATTTACATTGAGCACTGTAAAAATAAAAAATATCAATAAGAACACCGGATTATATATCTTACTGTTCTTTATATATATATATATATATATATATATATATATATATATAAAATGTTTATTTGTATTCAACAAACGGAGCCTTGAAGCGAAAGAGAAAATCTTTGAACCTTGTTGCACTGTGATTTCTACATTTTGCCCTCCTGATGAAATCAACTCCTGATATCTCTGTGCAGCTTCATCAAACAACTGTACTAACAGAGCACAAGTTTTCTCATATTCACATCGCCCAATAGTTGAAAGCTTAAAAAAGAAAAAAAAAAAAGAAAAGAAAGAAATGACCAAACAATAGAGAAACATAACGAATAAGGGTGTGTGTATGCATGCATGTATATATATTCAACATATGAGGGTCAAACAGCTCAGTTCCTAGGAACCAACAGCCAAACACCAGCACATGTGATTTGATTATAGTGGTTACGGTTTTGTGAAGAACCATCCACACTTCTTGAAGGGCTGAATACAAAGACCCGGTGCACTACATGCCACAAGGTCCCCAAACAATCCTCCATAGGTTTTGAATTCAGAGTTGTCCTTCTCCTAGACCAGTTGGTGTCCAAGGCTATGGAACCCAGTCTTTCCTGCTATAGCTGGAAGAAGAAGAGGATTCATACCTTTCCCAAGAGTATCAGCACGTAAGTGAATGTAATGGAATTCAAACTTGGCTCTCCAAGTCTGCAATCCAAGCTGCTATGTATTACTCCACTGTGCCTCCTCCTCTCTCTCTCTCTATATATATATATGTATATATATATATATGTGTGTGTGTGTGTGTGTGTGTGTGTGTGTATGTAGCATTTTTAAAATCATAAAATTTATGAGCACAAAAGAGACCTCACAAAAAACAACTAATGCACTAGTCATACATAGAAATAAATTCAACCAGTTTTGATTTTAAAAATGCTACTCATAAAAACAAAAAATAACTCACTCAAATGGAAAATCCTTGAGAGTGCTACCATTGAATATATATATATATATATATATATATATATATATGAAAGGAAAAGAAAATCAAGAAAAAGCTGTTATCTCTATTCAAGCAATTGAAATCATTGTTTGGTCTCACTCTAAAAACTTGTATTAATATTTTATTATGTAAGATTACATATTAGTCACTAGGCCAAATTGTTAATTATAAAATGGCATTTACTCCAGTATATATAGAATATTTATTTTCATACACACATCACACACAAAAATGGAATTTTGAAGATAAATGTACAAATTTTATATATATATATATATATATATATATATATATATATATATATATATATAAAATTCTGTACATTTATCTTCAAAATTCTATTTTTTCTTCAATAAAATAATTTTTAAGTTTAGCAAGGACTACAAAATTTAAATCTCATTAAAATGCAATCTATTTGACAGTTTATCAACCTGTTCAACATGAAATTGTAAATTTAAAAATAAAACTAAATTATTCATTTGATTAAAAATTTTTTATAATCAACCCAACCAGTTTTTATACTTTAGAAAAATAACTTCATTAAAAAATAAATAAATAAAATAATTATCAAAAATGTCTATTGGATTCCAATTTAATATCAGTGGTCTAAAAGCCGAGTGGTCAAGTAAATAAAATATTCAACTGATTCAACTTTAGTAATACCATTTTTAAAACATGAGGATGTGCTACGCAGTAAAATGACACCCTTTTTTGTTCCTTCTGTTTTTAAATGAACAATTTTTAATCTAATGCAGTAATTTTTTGATTTCTTTGAAAGAACTAATGAAGCTTCTATACATCTGATATTTTACTTCTAATTTAAATAGAATTCAATCAATTTGGCTTTTGCAAATCATAATAATGAAAATGGATTAAAGTTCTGTTGTTTTGAATTATTTTTCATTACAAACTTTACATTATTATTGATTAAAAGCTTTGGTAAACTTTTCTCATTTTCTTAAATGAAATCTGTACATGCAGATTTTATAAAAAAACTATTTATTTGCAAACTGTACTGTTCCCCCCAAAATAGTGTTTATATTGCTTAGTTTTAGATCAAATTATGAACCTATATAGAAATAAGAGTTAAACATCTTTCTATAGTTATCAAAATATGTAATAAAAAACTAAATGTATGAAAATAAGTTTTTATTTATTGATCAACAAAAATGAAACAAATTGAAAAACAAAAATAAAATCAAAAATGTCAAGTAGAAAACAAAATCAATTTCATGTTGAACAAGTTTGAGATTTTAATAAATCTTGAACTTTTTTTTAAAACTAATACCCCTGTCCATTTTTAAATTTACGACCCACTTCAAATAAACAATTTTAAAAACTCATGGAGCTTGTGTGAAAGCCAGCTTTTGTTATTGAAAAAACAATTTAATCTATACTGATAAATACTATTAATAAATATACATAAATTTGAAAATTAAAAAATTCTCTATTCCAACAGAAATCATTCTTATTGCATACAGCTAAACCAAACTATTGTTACCTGATCCAGCTGTTGAGTCACCATGCCACTATCTTCTAATGGGTCTTCCATCCCTTCACTGAAAACAATTAGTAAATCAGAGTAAGAAACAGCAAAAGAAATACCATTTTGCAATCAATCAATGTTTTTTTTTTCTTTACATGAAAATATTTTAAAAAGAAATATTTATATTTGCTAATTTCTCAGAGAGTTTCCTGAAAAGAGCCTGGCACTCGTCTGCATATGATTTAATACAACTAAAATTATGAGTGCAGAGAGGCTGTGCTTACCTTAAGGCCACATGAACTGATTCCATTCTGGACGTAATGTATGCCTTGGTTACTTCAGGAGTGTAGGTTTCCAACAAATGTGGTTCAGATGCTTTCACATATGGAACAGAAGCAACCATTCGCTGCCACAGACTCAACAAATAATGAATACTATTAGGTGCACACTGCCACATCTGAAAGTAAAAATGACAAAAGTACTAAACAATATGCTTTAAACATTAAAGAGTACTAATAGAAATTCAATTTCTTTTTAAGCTTTATATTTGGTTATATGATAATACTTCAGTCAGTGATAAAGTTATTTATGAAATGACATTAGTATTATTATAATAATTGCTATTCATAGTAATAATTAAATAAAGAAACATGGTAGATGTATTTATTCAGAAGTGAATTTCAAGTTAATAATCAAGTTTTGTTAATTCTGCAATACAAAAATTACTCTTCATTTTAATTGACTATGTAATTCAATCAGGCCTATAATTCAGTCTCAGCAAAAGGATCAAGATTAAATAAATAAATATGGAATTGAAGTCCTCTTCGATTGTTCCTGTCTTCAAGAACTCCGGCGACCCCTCTGACCCTTCCAACTACCGTCCCTATCAGTCTCCTTCCCTCTTCGCAAAAATCTTCTAGCTCTAATCAATACCGGGTGGTTAACCACCTCACATCCAATAATCTGCTCTCAGACAAGCAATATGGTTTCCGCTTTTGCCAGATCTACAGCCGATGTGCTCACAGCCATCACGGAAACAACAGTTGAACTCTCCAAAATAACGGGAAGCCCGAGCCGCGGCACTAGATATCTCCAAAGCATTTGATAGGGTTTGGCACGCCGCCTTTCTCCGCAAAGATCCAGGGTTATGGCATTACGGGTCAATTATATAACGTAATACAATCATTCCTGTAAACCGCAGGAATTGAAGGTCGTTCTCAACGGATTCTCCTCCAGTTCCTACCCCTCCTAACGCAGGAGTTCCTCAAGGCTCCATCCTAGGCCCCACTCTATTCCTTATCTATATAAATGACCTTCCTGACGCCGTAACTTCTCAAGTCGGCATCTACGCGATGACACCACAATTTATTCCTGCCTCAAAACAAATCCAGTCTCGCTGACAAAACTCACCTTGCCGTGGCCTCGAAAGGACCTCCAATCGATTGAACTGGGGCATGATTTGGCTGGTCAACTTCAACGCTTGAAGACTAAACTGCTCTCTATTAATCACCACAGAGAGCCTTCCTTCCCTCCATTATAATGTCTGACGCTCAACTTCCCGAGAGCAACTCTCTGCGGCTTCTCGGTCTCACGCTGACTGCTGACCTGAGATGGAATAAATACATCGAGTCAATTGCCTCGTCCCACTGCGAGGAAAGTTGGCTCCTGAGCCGCCATAGGAAGTTTTTCCCCTGAGTCGATCCTCCAGATATATAAATCCACACCCGCCTCTTGCATGGAGTATTGCTGCCATATATGGTCTGGCGCCCCTTCTGTTTGCCTCGGGGTTCTTGATAGGCTCCAGAGGCGGATATGTAATATGGTTGGCCCTGCCCTGGCGTCTCGTCTACAGTCACTTTCTCACAGACGCACAACGCCTCCCTCTGTCTGTTCTACAAATACTTTCATGGAAATTGCTCCGGGGAACTGCATTCTGGTTCCCAAACTTCATGAGTTCAAAGCGCCCTAGCAGGCTGGCATCCCGCCTCACCCCTTCACTGTCGAAACTCATAAATGTAGCCGTCTCTTCTACTCTAATAGCTTCATGTCTCGCACCTCTCGCCTGTGGAACTCTCTCTCCCTTCTCCTGTTTCCCTGAGAGTTATAATCTCCAGCTATTCAAGTGTAATGTCAATCGACATCTCCAGTTGCCTTAATCTATCTACTACCCTCATCGTTTCTTCTATCACTCCTATCTGATCTTCCTATTTTCTGTAACCCCTTGCGTCCTAGTGGCTCCCCGCCTTGCTTGGGGTGAAATGCTTAAAAAAAAAAAAAAAAAAAAAAAAAAAAAAAAAAAGATTATTGCCGAACCACAAGAAGAATTGGGTCAAATTACTGTATACATATATGCAAAAGTGCAAAAAATACTGTTAAAAACAGTACTACAAGTATTTCATAGATGAACCTTAATCAATTCAACCATAAAAGGCTAGCACAAATCAAGTCATATTACAACTTCTCTCTCGATTTTCACTTGCTAGAAAAAGTCAGATGTATTTGACAAAAATGTGTGCTAAAAAGCAATAAGATGAAGAAATGATTAGCCAAACATTTATAGTAAAAAAAGTAATTCAGACTTGATTTTATGACAGACACACAAACTCTTTTTTAATTTTTGTGTATATAGATTTGAAAATCAAACCAAGATTGTCATTTTTTATAATTTATAAGAAAAAAAGTAAATCAAACAGTTTTATCCTAATATGCAGAAGTGTGTGGGGAGAGGGACATCACAGCCAAATGGATGGTCTTAGGGACCCAATCTTTTGCCTAGATGACCTACAGTAATATCATAGGATATGAGAAATCAAAAGCCATTTGAGGTAACCAGAGATTATGGAAGAGTACAGGATGCAATTTCTAGTCAAATGGAATGAAATGTTAAATTTGCTACGTTGAGATGAAAACTCACAAGACACCCAGTTGTGACACAGGTTATGAAATGTTCACCTCAGGAATCATTTGATGTCATCAAAAAGTAAAGTCTGTAATTTTTAGCAAATGGAGAGAGATCTTGAGTTTACTATCAAGTAGAAAAGTGTTTTTTGCTCTGACAAAGTTAATTTAAACCTCCACAGGTCATTGACAATAGAATTAGTTTGCAGCCAAACAAGTGAGGTGGTGCAGTCCTTCAAGATCAATGGAAATCAGTTTGGGAGTAAAGTAACATTCTTCAGCCAAATAGAAAAAAAAACTATATAACTTTATTTTCATTTTGCTGTATTTGTTTAAATCTTATTCAACAATGAAAAACATTTAAAAAGAAATTTCCAAGATGAAACTGTTCTAATTATAAAGAATGGTCCAAAACTAAAGAAATTACCAGTGACTTGTGAGCAAATCATTCTTGCTCCAAAAAATGATGCAATAAACTGAGCCATTGCAATAAATACATAAGGAATTTCAGCTGTATAAGTCAATTGACAATTCCAAACACTTCAGAGGCTAATTAGAACCCAGTTGAATTTATCAACTCTATTCAGATACCTGATGATGTTCTTCACAGGCTTCAGTTAAAAGTTGAAATGCCCATCATGCTTTTCAGAAATCTAGTTTCCTCCCTACCACATGCTATCAAATCAACTATTTTAAATGTGGTAGGCTCCTTATAATTCCAAGAGAATTCAATTACCAGTGAGGATCAGCTTTACCATGATCATCAAAAAGGTACAACGTAATGATGTTCCTGGTTAGCTCTATATTCATTGTACTTGGGTTAGATTCCCAAATAATTTTTGCATACTTACATTCAATGTGAAAAAACTAATGTTATCTGTTCAACCGAAGGACAAGATTATTTGGAACATCAGAATTTTTTTTTTTTTTTTTTTTTATTAACAGCTATTTTTTTTTTCAGGTAGCAATGATTTCGTTCTTATTTGTTGCATTGTTTAAGAAATATGTTAAACATGTTTTTTCCTGTATTGAAGTTATTTTCCCCCCAGGTAATACTGGGTATCCCTGCTAATAAGAGAGAACATTGATAAGCTGTTGTAAATTGCATTCATGTTGAATAAAGATGATGTATCATCCACTTCTCAGGTCAGATGTCATGAAGAAAGTAAGAAACAGTGAACTTACACGCAAACTGGTCACTGTAAATTCAGCAATCAGTTTAATGATTTCAGGATAATTGTCAACTTTAACAAGTTCTCCCAACTGATAATTGGACTTTAATCGTGCAAGTAACCGACAAAATTCATGGTAGTTGTTTGGATGTGACAAACTCTGAATAAGAAAAATATAAAAAGGCAACATTAATTTAGTTCTTTTTGAGAATTTGTAATAAAAGTATTTTCCATTCGTAGATAAATATTAATAGCTAAGTGTGTTACTGAAACAAATCAGATATTTCTTTTAACCATTAACATCTGCTACTATTTATATACCATAAACATCTGAAGAAAAAACAAATCAACTCCCCATTAGGAGAGTAGATTTAATCTTATTTAATTGTTATAAGAATTATGCTCTTTGCTACTAAAATTTTACTGACCAATATTATTTCCTTATTATAATAAGATGAATACCAATCTACAATTTACATAAGATATTTTCCTTCTGCTGATATATGTAATCACACTACACAAATCAACACATCTGAAGATTTATCAATTATTCCAATACATGTAAATATTTCCTACCAAAGTTTAACTTAAAAAGTCTTTAATAACTTCAATGGCTGAAGAAATTTAAATGTGAATAATATACTAAAAAGAAATATGCTAAAAGTAAAAAATACATATGAAAAACACAGATACTAACCTGAGGATGTTCTAATATCCGCCTCACACCTGCAACAAGATGATTCAGAAATTGTGCTCGTTCGTCATTGTTAAATAAAGAGCGTCGTACAGAAGCAACTTGAACAAGACAAGAAAGAGCCTGAAAAATATCAAAGCAGGGGAAATTCAGCACTGATATCAAATTATAATCCTACCTATTCAATTTGTTTTTACAGACAAATTAAAAGAAAAAAGTCAACCAAATATAAGAAAATTTGAAGTGATACAATTTCATTCACCTAAAAAAGATGTGAATTTGCATAAATGCAGAAACTTATCTCAACAGCCTTGATATAAAATATTCTAATGCAAGAAAAGAAAATCAGGCTTTCACATTTAACAGATTAGGTATCTAATAGATCTGTTTTCTCAATTCTAAAAACATTTTAAAGTATCCAAAATGCTCTTACCATTGATGATAATGAAGATGGTAGGCCAGCATACAAATCAAAAAACAATTGCAGCGTACTAAAATCAAGGAAGACTGCAAAGAAAGGATAAATGGCATTAAAGTGAAATACTAACATCTAACATTTTTATTTAACGTGTATCAACATTCATGAGCATAGTCTGATTGCAATATATAAATTTTAATTTAATAATATAGTATTGACTCTCTCTTACCAAAGCTACCTTTAAGCTTTCATCCATATAAAGATATAGTTGATTTTGTGCTTTTTTCCTTTACATTTATAGAACGTTCTTAAATATTTATTGATTTTAGGATGATATAATTATGAACTGATATTATAAATATCATGTATTCTATCAATACTGGTGTAAAATCCATCAGATTCCAATTACTGTTCAAATCTGTAAATCTGAAATGTTTTTTTTAAAATTCCAAGTAGTTAAAGATTCAATACAGAATGTCACATCCATTAATGATAACTAGTGGAATTTAAATTTGAAAAAGCACCTTGCCAGGCCAAATAAAGGAAGCAGGATGTGGAAACTTCATGAGCAAAATGATAATCTTTGTAAGAAAGAAAAAAAAAAAAAAAAGGGTTCCTTGTGCCAAACAGCTAAATCATATAATCAAAATTATAGAAAAGATTAGGCCTAACAGATTATCCTACAAGTAGTGAAATGAGTGGCATTTAAAATTCCAGCATTGCTGTACAAAAATCAACCAATTTTTAGACAAAAAAAAAAAAAAAAAGGCCAGTACTCTATGTTGCTCTGAATATGGTTGAAAAAGAAACTTAACATCTTCAGGAAAAAAGTGTAATAGAACGTGTTAATTACTCCATGTGGACATCCCCTATTGTAGTTGTTAAAAAGACAAATGGAAAAGTCTGGATATGTGCTGATTACCTGAATGGTTTGAATGATGCTTTGGATGCACATCAGTATCCACTTCCAGTGTCAGAGGACCTTTCCACTAAACTGAACAGCTGAATTGCAAAAATTGATCTTTCTGATGCTTTTCTTCAGCTAGAAGTTAACAAGGAGTTCAAAAAAGCTCTTTACTACCAACACCTACAAGGTGTTATTCAGATTTAACCATCTTAGCTTTGGGTTCAAACCAGTACCAGAAATATTTCAACAGACACCATGCTGACAGGATTGACAGGAGTTGCAACATTAATTGCCTGAACATCGAGTTCATGTACCCCACAACAATCTTTTGAAAAAAAAAAAAAATTGTTGCCTGGGAGTGGTCTGACACATCCTTCAAAATGGTAAAGTCCTTACTTTCTTTCAATCTTTTGCTGACACTACTACAACCCATCCATGGATATTATTTTAGTCTTTGATACAAACAATTATGGTATTGGAGCTGTCATTTCTTGTGTTTTTCCTGATGGCAGCCAAAAGGCAAATAGTTCATGCATCCAGATCACCAACACCTGTAGAGCGTAATTATAGCCAAATTGAAAAAGAAGCATTAGCAACAGTCTTTCCTATTAAAAAGTTCCACAAAATGCTGTATGGGTGTCAGTTCACTATGATCACAAGCCTCTTGTTAGTATTTTTAGATCTAAAAAAAGGCATCACAGTATATACAGCAAAGCAAAGATAGGCTACAATTACAATTTTTCTATAAAATACAATTCAACCAATTTCAATTGGTCATGCCGATGCATTATCTATGCAAAATAAAGTACCAGACGACTCAGTCATCACAGCATTATCTCTAGAGCCAGAAGTCACTTCAGTGCTTGCATCCAATGTAAAGCATTAACAGTCACTTCTACAATGATCTGTGAAGACACAGCTTCCATTCTGGTTTACAAAATGGCCAGAAGCATGCACTGACAAAAGAATTCAGCCATTCCTTTAGTGTCGATCTTCATTGTCAGAAGTCAACAGATGTTTTTTTTTTTTTTTTTTTGTAGGATGCTTGATTGTCCCATCTTCATTACATGAAAGAGTTATCAAGCAGTTCTATTATAGTCATCAAGGTATTAGCCATATGAAATCCCTAGCATGCAGCTGTTTATTCAACAGACATGAACAGGAAGTTGGAGGAATTGGTACACACGTTCCAATTGGCAACTGGCAGCAAAATCTCACAGAAAACTACACCTAGTTCCTGGCCTATCCCAGAATCTCTCTGGTTACACCTTCACATTGATTTTGCTGGACCCATCAAGGGGTATTATTATTTTATTCTAGTTGATGCTTACAGCAAATAGCCAGAGATTTTACAGATGAATTGCATAATCTCAGATGAAACAATTTTTAGGTTAAGGAAAACCTTTAGCAGATTTGGAGTCCCACAGAAACATTTTCGACTTTCTGTGCACAGAATGGTATTCAAGACATTAGGACAAACTTTTCATCCACAATCAAATGGACAAGTGGAGAGTTTTGTAGATACATTTAAGAGGGCACTCCTCAAACTTGAAAGAGCAGGAACCACACAAGAAATATTAGAGATATTCCCCAGAAGTTAGTGCTACACCCAAACTAAATGCACCTAATGGAAATTCACAAGCATAAGCATTGATGAACCATAAAGTTTGTTTGCATATAGATGTCATCCATCCAACTACAAACCATTCCCTGAAAAGGGAATAGTGACTGAAGAACAATTTTATCATAATCATGGAGCAGTAAAACACAAAAATAAGTACCAGGACAACCTGTACTTACAAAAAATTACTGCAATGATAAAGAAAAAAAAAATTACTGCAATGATAAAGAAAAATGGATCCAAGGATACATTATGGGTTTCTCTGGAAATGTTACATATGATGCAGATATACATTCTTCATTCTGGGCTCGACATGTGAATCAATTACAATGATCCAACCCTCAAGAGACAAAATCAAACTTTACCACTGGACATTCTATTGGACACCTTTGAATTGTCTCAACAAAGTTCCCAAGTAATGCCAAGGATCAAATATAGGACCCCTGCAAAAAATGTCTGAAGGAAATCAAATTGACTACAAAGTAAGCCATACATACAATTAAATCCTCGATAAAAGTGATATGAACACAAGGCTAAAAAGTGGAGGTGTTAGGGGAAGCTAATTTCCTTCCCCTATAAAGGAGGATATCTCAAAATACAATTGAGTTACTTCCCTTGCCTGTGAAAACAAGCAAGCCACTTGTGAATTGAACATGGCAACAAGCTGGTAAACATATGAAATTCATTGTTTCAATCCAGGCAATCCTTGTTGTTCTCAGACAGTGAATGAATAAAGGTTGTTTTATGATGTGTTCAAATACACTTGTCTTATTTTCATTCATCCCAACAGTTTGGGATATAAGAATATCACAGAAAGTCAGTCATTGTTTGCAAAACATTTGATACTCCCAACCCCAAATAAGAACAGAAGGCAAAATTGTAATATCGAGGAAAAAAAAAAAAAAAAAAAAAAAACACCTACCGGAACGCCAACTGGTTGGAATTTGTACAGTGCATAAATCATCTGATGATTCATCTGTTGAAGCGCCTATGAAGTCAAAAGTCAAGCAGTTCAGTGCTAATCGGAGGGAGTGGGATAACAAGCCATGCTGTAAAAGGGAGAAAGAATAAAAATGGAAAAAACTGATACTCAGATTTAGAAATTTTTTTTTTTTCATCTAAACTTTTTTCATCAATTTTGCTGATTAAGACTTAAACAAGGAGAGGTCTCTAAACTACAGCCAGCCACACCATTTTGTTTCTTTATAATTGTTATAATTCTATTATTCTGAAACACATGCTGATTACAAGAAATAAATAAATAAAAATAAGTTTGTAATCTACTTAAATTTTATTCATTGAGAAAACTCATTTTTTTCCTTTGATTTTCAAAAGTGTATAAAATATACAAAAAATTTTGTAAAGTTTCCTAAAAGAAATAAAATTAGGCATTTATATATCTTGCCATTGTGTTACAGTTGAGAATAGTAATATCAAAAATTAGTAAAAAAAAAAAAAAAAAAAAAAAAAAAAAAACAAAACAAAAAACAAAAAAAAGAAGAAAAAAAACAAAAAAAAGAAGAAAAAAAAACAAAACAAAAAAAAACAAAGAAAAAACAAAAAAAAAAACAAAGAAAAAAAAAACAAAACAAAACAAACAACTATAATGCACAAAATAAAAATGTTATCATTATCAACAGAAAAGTCAATATCCAAGTCACTACTTGAGTTTTTAAAACTTACCTGACTATCATCTGAAAAATCCAGTGTTTTCAGATTACCTTCAGCTGTTCTAAGTAATGAACATGCTAGTTGAAATATTTCATAGAGTTGGGTGTCACGAAATGATGATGCAGTTTTACGGTGTTTTGTAATGGACCTGCTTGCTTCTGCCTAAAAAAATCAACAAGAGTGGAATTCTAATAGTAGATCATACAAATACATAAATACTATCTACTGACTTTTAGAAGATCAATGGAATTAGAAAAAAAAAAAAAAAAAAAAAAAAAACATCATCTTGTCTCAATGTATGAAGATGCTATTACAATAACAATACCTTACTTCTATTGAATTTGATTAACGACAAAGTGTATTCCTTTTAATATCAAAATATATAATTAAAGCATTGAAGACAAATGCAAACACTAAAAAGCAATTATGTTTTTATCATATTTATAATTTTAATGTGTGTCCCTCTGCAAACTGATGAAGAGTTGAAGTGGTCATAAATATATATCAAATCAAATACTTCATAATTTAATTTGAAAACCAATCCAGTAAAATAAATAATTTAAATGACTTTCTTTGACTGCTGTTTTAAAGAACATCATTTAGTTATAGGAATAAACTTTAAAATGAAATGTCTGTTAATGAAAATTAAGCATAACGGTTCAAATTACAAAGTTGTCATAAAAACAATTTTTGAAAAATTGAAGTCCTTTTCAAGATATTCATATATTAAATACAAACACTAAGAATTCAGGTCCTAGTATAAAAAAGAAATTAAAATCCTTGATAGTTTATATACTTAAATTTCTTAACTGAACTTATTAAAGAAACTACCAGGCTATTACAGTGGAATAATAAATGCAGCAAACCCAAATTCAAAAAGGTAGATGTAGCAATATATCTAAATTTCTTTTCACAGAATAAAGAAAATTGGAACTGCACATAAAATAACTTGAAATGTAGATAAAACGAATAAACAGAAATATAAGAACAGAAAAATTCAAGTAACTATTTCTGTCATTATTTTAAATACTTTTAGAATCTTGTTTATTAAAAAAGTAAATTATGATGACCAGAGGATGTAGCAATTTAGAGACTGTCAACATTATTCTTGTTGTACACATTAAAGACTATTGTTAATCTGATTAAATAAGTATAGAAAGATCATTATCTTGTGTCAACCCAGTAAACTGTATTCCACATTTGTCTTGGTAGAATTTATTGGCATGACAACATCTGCCTGTCAAATGTTACACCAGATATAGCATTTAATTTTATTGAACAAACTATTGTAAATAAGCCTTTCTTTGGATTGTCATTAAGAAATACTCATTCATAAAATAAAGTTCACATTTCATGATTGATCTGAGAATTTATCTCTTTATATTTGAACATCTCAAACAAAAAACATACTACCTTTATCTCTCTCATATAATCTCCTACAACTCCAAATGTTATTTTGTGGATACCCATGTTTGAGTAGGTGGGGGGATTATGCACAGCCAAGAGACTTAAAGAAAACGGGCTCTCCAGCAGTATGTGTTTCTTTTATATATAATGTAACTGCTCCTGCATATTTTCTTCCACTTACTGGTATTTAACTTTTAAGGATCTAACAAAGGAAATTTATTACAGCTATTGTATCAACACAAACAAGACAACAGAAAATGAGAGATGATAGGTTTGAACTTCTGTTCATAGATTCAACGTCATTCTTCAAAAAAAACATTTTTCAATCCTGTCATTTGCAAATTATGAGCATAAAAATTAAAGTAGAAAATAGAATCTAAACAACTTATAGTAATTATCTAAGGCTGTGACATGGTTTTTAATATACACTATTTTCTACATACGTGTAAAAGCACATGGAATATCCTGTCCTCATCACTGTCAACCAGGGAGGTAACACAGTTTTGATGGCTAAGGCGGTAGTGCCACCCCTGGCACCACCAGCAGCTTTTGCCATTGGACAGGATATTGTTTTTTTTGCGTAGACATGTCAGTCTCTTGTGATTTTTTTTTTAGAAGTACAAATCAGATTTTCAACATTGTGTTAAAGGTGTTTGCTTTTGGTTGTTAACCAATTCACAACATGCTCATAGCAACTGTCATCATGATGTAGAATGGAAGGGTAAACAAATGTTTCATGGCAGTAGCAGCATTGTGTTGCAAGCATGGTTTTAATTAATTTTGTTTATTTTGGATCATGATCTGATCTGACTTATTGCTTGTTGAGCTGTGGTCTTGAGACAATGTGAAGCACACTTCAGGCTCCAGCCAGTGATGCCCACCTTCAAAAGGAAAGAAACAATTGACTGTCCAAGGAATCTATGGCACTCAACCTCAATAGGTAGCACAAGACATGTCCACCCCTTTTCCACACAGTTGGATTGTAGTGAATTGTAGCATTTTTTTTCCTTTCATTTGTGTGCCTCCTCCCTGCTCTTCTCCCATGGAACCGTTAATTCTACTAGGAGGACACTTCTTTGAATCAGACTACGCTACAATGTCAGGGTGTGCATCTGTCTGAAGGACATTAAAATGCATAAAAAATGAGATTTGAATGAAAAGTGCATTCTAATCCATGTAATATATTCAACAGTGTGACTTCAGAGAACATTAATGTTCTTTAGTTTTTACATGGAATCAAATGAAAACAAAACCTTGAGTCAGGCCATGTAATTTATGTATACATATAATATAACCATGGAAGTACAGGAAAACCAACTGCTAGGGAATAGTCAACAGAACTAAGCAGAAACTAGGAGTCAAAGAAAGGATTCCACTTGAGTCCTGTCTCCTTTCCCTGCAGTCAGAGACGGTCAGATGAAATTGTTTCTTTGAATGAAAAAAAACAAAAAAAAAACCCAAACACCTGGTTTAACCTTTCATCTATACATCTATAAAGGGCAGTTGTCAGTATGTGTGTCTGGCTAAAACTAAAAAATTTACAATAATTAAGAACAATATATATATTACACAGAGTATTTAATAGAAAAAAAAAAACCATTGTATAATTAGTATTTGAAGGTATTTTAAAATTAGAATGCATTTTCAGCCATGCAAGCATTTGAAATTCTCAGAACTAAAAAGTAAAAACAAACAGGAATAATTATTATTCCCATTTGTTTTTACTGTTTAATTCTGCTGATAATTTCAGAACACTGTATGTATTTTTAAAATTTCTATTCTCTTGAATTTATTTCCATATCTATAGTAAATAAAAGTGTAATATGAATATTAAAACAACAAAGTAAACTTACAAGAAGAATATTAAATACAATTATTTGAAAATAGTTTGTTTATTTATTCAAATATTTGAAACAAATTGAAAAAACACAACAAAATAAATTCCCATAGATATTGGGGGGGAGGTCAGTAGCTTTAATACAATCAGATATTCAACAAACATATATAAGTCATCTTTTTCAATTTTTTTTTTTTTTTTTAACTCTTACCATTTTATTGAAATTAATATTTTTTAAAATTTTAGATATTAACTTCAAAAATGAATGCAACCCCCCCCCCAAAAAAAACAAAAATTATTTTAAATATAAATATATACAATTATTTTAAACATGCTGGAGTGGGGGTCATAAAATTTTACTAAACTATTTAATTTAATTTTCAAAAAATTAAATATGCTTTCAAAGATATTCTGTTTGTTGAATTACTTTTTATTATTAATAAAAATTTTACTAAATTTAAATTTTCCAAAAATATCATTATTTTTTATATTATAATCTTTTTATTGTAGACAGGACATGAAAGTTTATAGATTTTTGAATTAATATTTCTCCATGAAATCTATCTCTTGTCTTTACTTTTTTACTTTACTGACAAAAAAAAAAAAAAAAAAAAAAAAAAATACATACAATTTAAACAAAATACCTTAGCAAAATAGCAATATGGAACCAAATAAATTATTTTAAATGATTTTCTGATTTAAAGAAAAATAATTACTGGTGTTAATTTGATAAAACATATAGACAATATATTTACTTTAATAAATAGTGGAATGTCCATCCTATAATTATTTTCTGTAAAGAAAAAATAAAAATTTGTACATAATTCCCTCTATCTGGCATGATACTTCACAATCTCATTTGGAAAAGGGAGACCTCCAGTCATATTCTTGAGAAATCTAGACCACTGAGTCTTTGCAATGGCATCAGATTGATTATAAAGACAATGAATCAGCATGTTATTCAATTTCAACATAGCAATGAAACCTAAGATTAAGTTATTTCTTCTGAGCAATGTTGGGTATCCCTGCTAGTTTTGAACAAAGTAAACACTTGTACACAAAACAGCAGAAGCCATATTTCAACAGCACTACCACATGACTAAGGTGCTGTCAAACCAAAATTATTACGAAACTACTCTTTAGCTTCTTATTTGGTGAAATAAACAATAACTACTTACTTGCAATTCTAAATCACCACCCAGCCTCAAAATCCATACTGGAATGGGATGAAAATGTTAGAGACCCATTATAAGAAGTTAAAAATTCCTGTACTACTGGTATTAGTCATAAAAATGATGAGTGATGGTGATTGTTAAAGTTGGGCACAAATGTAGCACTTGAAATCAGTGTTAATCCAAATAGAAAACTACTTCATATCAAAATTACCAGCTAGGAAACAGATGAAATGCTCATCTACACCACATTTAGCAAACAAGGTGGTTGATAATAAAGATAAATTCAATCCATGTCCATGTTGGCCATGGCACAACCCCACTGACTGGATAAAAACTTATTTCATGGGTCTCACATACCATTTCTTCATAATGCTAAGAGGAAAAAAAGAAAAGAAAAAAAAAAAAGAAGGAAATGGAGGTAAGTGTACAATCTGAACTTTATTATACTCTTTTAGAATCTATTCTATAATAAAAGGGAATTCATTGGTGTGCAAATGTGCCCAGATTAAACTCCAAAAACCACAATATTTAGACCCTTAAATGATTCAGCATGGTCCAAAGAAGCTTTTGAAAAACAATTTCTTTACTCTTTATATAAACAAAGACATTTGTAAATTAAAATATGTAATAGTTAGCATTAGAAAACATAGCAAAAAAAACAAACAAAAAAAACATGCCAACGATTTAGTGTTTCTGATTTAAACCAGATGTCATTCAATTATTTTTTTTAAAATAAACAGTGGCAAAGTTAATAAATAATGGATTAATAGAATGATTTTTTTAAAATTATAAATTACATTTATAAAAAGACTAAAAGAATACAAAAGCAATCATTTTATTTAATAAAGAGCTTATTTCTTTTAAAATTAGATTTTCCCATGAAGACAATAGGCTTAATAGCTTAATTCCCTTACAAAAATTAATTTCCACCTTTCATTCATTACAACAATACTAAGTGTTAAAAAAAAAAAAATCTTTAAAAAAAAACTATTCAATTAAAATGAAAAAGTTTTAATTTACAAAATACTTTTATTTATATAAAGAGTACAGAAGTAAACTATTTTTCAAAACCTTCATTGGATCATGCAGAATCAGAACATATATGGTTTTTAGGATCTAAATATTGTAGTTTACGCTGGTCACACATACACACAAAAGATTTAGAACAGAGTTGACAATTGTTTTTTTCTCTTATAGATTTAATTTTTTAACACTATTTAAATTAAAATGAATATTGTTATAATAAATTAAATGACATCAGATTTAAATGTAAATATCATTATCGTTATTAATATTGTTCATCATGAATCTACATTGTTGGTGTTATTTTGATATAATACCTGAGCAACATTAGGTAGCCCTGCTAGTATTAAATAAATTCAAAAGTACATAACTAAAAAACAATTATTAATTTGAAAAAGTAATGCATAACCTGATGCCAGAAAAGGTAATTAAACCTTTATATATCTTGCAACACTTACGTCTGTACAAATTTTGAGTACATATATCCAGCGTGGTGAATTCCTATATGTTTTTCTGTTTACCTATCAAACAATGGATAAGACAAGTAGGTCTAATGTCGAACATTGGATTAGCATGGTTCTGCAGAGGCAGAACATCTTCAAAGTTTATATTAAAGTAGAGATTTCCAGAATTCATAGATTTCTCTGCAAAATTCACTCATCAGAATTTAGTTGTAATATATTTTACACAACTGTTAAACTGACCATTATATATTGAAAGAACTTGGAACAAAATAACATTAACATTAATGGGTATTTGTTGGCCTATATTTCCAGAACCATTTTAACAGCATTGTAGGCTCTGATGAAACAATGCACTTGGGCCCACACCAACCTACCACAGGGATAAAAATGTAAACAATCAATAAGATTAAACCTATAGATTTATTGGTACTTTCAACAAACTCAATGTTTAAGCACAACATGCTGTAAAGCAAGAATTAATCAATACAAACTTGAAGAATAAACTTTGAAAAACACAAACATTTCAACATATGATAATGAGGGACAACAAACGGGCAAGGGATGGTGCAGCATGAATCAATGCAAACATTTGCAAGATTCAATAATGTTCCTGATATCATTTTCCATGCATTTGAGTGTAAACCAGCTCAAACACTGCAGCAGCATTGTGCTGTGAAGTTGATTCTTTATCACTTTTTTAATTTTGAAAATGAATGTGTAGTCATGTGCATGATGGCAACCAACTGTAGAGGGGGGGGGGCATTCATTTTCAAGATTAAAAACACAGATTTCAAGTTGCTGCTCAATTCTTTGCTCCACAAAAAAAAAAAAAAAAAAAAAAAAGCAAGAAATGCTACATTGACTTACAGTCTCAAATTTATTAGACAGCAAATATCAACTGATCAATGTCAGAAGTGTCTGGAATGGAATCCACACTTATTGAAAATACTATGGCTGTTTTATTTCATGCAGAATAGCTGAAAGAATATGTCAAATTCAATTCTTCACAAATGTTTGCCAATAGATACAATGGATTTCCATACAGTTGGAGATACTCCCCATCCCAAAATGGTCAAATGCAAATTCCACATTTGATATGAAATATATACACAAAATATAGAGAATTGTATAAAAGAAAACTAGTAGTAGACAAACATACTCAGACACATGAAACAACATTAACCTTTGTTTGCAATTATTGTCAGAGGTTTCTAATAAAACTTAAATCAATCCGAATTTGTAAGCCACTTAAGAAATTTCTGGGATCTTTCAGATGTAAAAAAAGATCTTCAAATTTTCACACAAGTATTTGATAGGAGTCAAAGTAACAAAGTCAAACTATTCCCATATTGCTTTGCTACATCGTGTAAACAATTATTGTATTGGAAAACCTAATCATCATTCAGTTTCAAATGCCATACCAGAGAGAGTGAGTGAGTTTATATTTATTGTTCCTTTAGTTACACAAAGCACTTCAGTGTCATTTGAAGAAATATTCCCACCTCAATGAGCATGATAATTTCGGATTTTAATTAGAAGAGTTTTTCTTCAAATATGATGGTCTGTCTGAGTTCTGACCAAAAAGTTTGATTTTAATTTTCTCTGATTAAAGATTTTACTTAAAAAAAATCTGAATCTTTTAGTGTTTGTGTGCAAACCTTAGCTTCACCTCTTTCTTTTACTTTGTTATTAAAGAAATTTTTAGTCAGTCTTAATTTGCATACATTTTTGACTATCTTTTTTTAATTTTGTAAAACAATTAGTATGATAATTTTTATCTATCTGGAAGTAGAATGAATACTCTTTAAAGCAATTTGTCTTAAATTACATTCAGCTGTCAATTGCTATAAGGATTTAAATCTCATTGTTTACATTTTTGTGTTTATGAAAATTGTAATGGAAAAAATGACTATGTGAGCTTTATATATTGCATTTGGAAATTGAAAATATGATATTGAAATTTACAAAAGGAAAATCAGAACACATTAAAAGATACTTAAAAATATAAAAGTTTTTTTTTTTTTAATAAAGAGATGCAATTTTACATAACTCAAACACCCTTGCAATACACGAAGAAGCTTCATCAGTGGAGTAGCTTACGAGCTGAAGTTTACAAAATTATCATTTAAGTTAATGGTAGTTTTATTAAGCTTTCAAACAAAGTTTCTTATTTGCAAAAGTAATAGTGAATCGATGAATAGAGAATTTTTTTTTAAAGATAAAAAAGTGTCATGAATGTACAGAAAATATGTGGGCTTTAGTTGATCATGCTGCAAGGAAAAAAAGAGTATGTAAATTTAAACTACTATAGTTGCCAAATCACTCGGAAATTGTTGTTTCCTTTAAGGTTACATATATATATATATATATATATATATATATATATATATATATATATATATAAAAAATTTATTCTAATTTTCATCAATACCAAACCTGCAGATACACACTATAAATTAGGTACTTTTCCTTCAGATTGAAATAAGAATCACATTAAAATACAGGAAATGAAGGGTTTTTCAAATTCAATTGTGCTATTCAAATTAAATTTATTGTATTAAAGAACAAAAATTTCTTACCTCACTCAATTGATTCATTTCACATACTAACTGAGACAACAACTGGACCCCAATCATCACATGCTGTGTGGACATACTCTGAAAAAGCAAAGAATTTAACCATGCTTTAATGCACTGTAACAAAATTAAAAAACTTCTAGAATGCTCTCTCAAACATTTGTTTCAAAGTGACATAAAAGTTCTTTTCAGCTGCTATCTGAATTTTAAATGACTACATAAAGTATAGGTAATAGCTTAAACTATACCACAGAATTTCTTAAAATTAAGTTGATTTTTTTTCAGTACAGCAAAAAAGTAACATTTCTAAGATGATGTACAAGAAAACAATCCAACAGAGATCAACTGATGAAACCATAAAATTCTTTTATACTTAAGTATTATAAATGAGGTAACAGCAGCAAACTATTGAAATAGAAACCTATGTGAGGAGATATTTCAGGTAAAAACCAGACTAAGTGTAGCCAGGATATGTGATAGTTCTGTTGATGGAGCAGAAGATTGTAATAATAATTAACTCACATATTTATGGTGATTTTTTAATCCAGAAAATGTATATTATTAATGTGACACTGTAAGACATTGAAAAGGTTAAGAGATAGCCTGATAGAGAGAAATGAAGTAAGATTTTATTAAATTCAGAAAGTTTGTTTTTCTTCCATGAATAAACCCTAAAGGGAGGAAATAGGGCTGACTTGAAGTAAATGGCTTTATTATTTTGGGGAATTTAGCTGAAAAGGCCATCTGAACAATTTAAACCCAGGAGGGTTGGGGAGAGATGGCGTAGGAACATTCAAAGTCAGCTGAGAATTTTGTTAAACAGGGCAGAAAAGACATTGATTTGTCACCACTCACTAACGTGTGGAAAATCTGATAACCACAGGCAGAAAAGGGAATTGATGGAGAGATAATATTTTTAAGGGTTTGGGGAATGAAGGTGAAGTTAAGGGAATTGATTTATTTCATTTGTCAAATAGGGTGGAAAGCATAAATCACTAAAAAGTGGCATTTCTTTGGATAGGAGCCAAACCTCGAGTGTCATGGGTCAAAACTTGCTAAGAAGGCTGTCAAGGGAACAGTTGGTGAATGTCCGACTGAAAGAATGAGGTTTGGGTTGAGTAATTCCATTGACAAAAACTTTGAGCAATAATTAAAATTAATGATTTGGAGCTAAGCTACACCTGTTCACCTATGCAGTCTAAAAATGTTTGTCAAAATGACAAAGTAAGTGAAGGGCTCAGGTGAAATACCAAGGGCGATGGAGGAATTGCCTATGACCCTTGGGTAGTATTGGTATGAGGTACCTGTATGAGAAAGAAGGAGTTAGGGTGGATTGATATTCTGCTACCACTATTCTTGGGCATGCAATTAATTTTCTGGAGTCGGATAACAAAGGACATTTTGTAGAGGTTAGGGGAATTACCAAAACCCCAGGCTCTGTCGGACTCCATGTCAGTTTTGGGCAAGGGTTCATATAAGCAGAAGATCTAAGCAATCAAGATGATAGCCGTTCGAATTGCTGTTGGAGACAAGAGATGACTGCTACGATCTCACATGACTTGCTGCCTGAGGAATACCTTCGACTTTAGCCTTCTTCCATTATGGCCATGAACATGGCTGCCCACAAATATTATGAACAAATGTCTTATGGATTCAACACATAGTTTGATACTTTGTAAATATTTAATTTCACCAATATTAATTTGGTACAGGCACAAGCATTCACAGTTGAATGAAAAACTACGATTTCCTTTGTTCTTAATGAGGACACATACAGGCACCAGATTACAAAAAATCTTTTGAAGGAAGCACAATTATAGGGTCACATTTAAATTAAGGGAATTGTAGTTACTAAAAAGTAAAAAGTTGAAAGAGGAATGAAATTTGAAGACATGTATAGTTATTTTAGAGTTTCCAAATAATGCATTGCAGAGTTAGAATGAAGCAGAGTAACAGTTTAAGTTTTCAACCAATCTAACTGCTTTTACCAAATGTACTCCATAATATCAGGTGAAACTAAATATCAGTGAAGATAGGAGCTGTGTTTGTTTTATATGCATGTACTGCACACCAGAATGCTTCCTCAGTGATGTTTATTCTGAAGTCATAGAAAGTTTCATGCTTCCATAATATGACTTTCTCTCCCATGGGGTTGCTCTTGGCTGGGTCAGCCAAGAACAACCATTTCTGCCATACCTTCTGTATGATTGCAAGAATTGTAACAATATTTATGTGGCAAGTTCTCTGTGATACAGAAAATGGAAAAACAGAAATAAAACAGCAAACACTGAAAATGGGACTTTTGCTACTAAAAATAAAATCTGAATAAAAAAAATGAGCGAGAGAAAGAAAAAAAAAAAAAAAACTATTGTGAAAATCAGGGCCTTTTTTATTTCTAAAGTTACTGTACTATCAACATAAATGTAGTTTGTACTTTATAGTAGCCCTGCCATATTCACTGTCATTGCTTCAAAACTTTGTATATTCTGACAGTAAAACTTAAAAATTCCTGAGTTGGAACTTGACAGAATCATTATTTTGCATAAATTTGCAATACACTGCAAAGTCAGTTACTTATGCGCAAGTGCTACAACCTATATTGCTGAAACATGTCATTGTATAAATAACATAGGGTATTTTCCACTACTGATCCCAGTACTGTGCAAGCACCCTAACCTAATTCATGATATTAACCCAGCCAAACCAGTCACCACTGGGCAAATACCCACATGTGATATTAGCATATTAATAGCATGGGACACACTGTCAAGGGTAGTAAAAAATAAAAGTTGTTTAGTAACTAAATTAGATTTTTAAATGTCGGTTTGATTATCTTTCACAATGAATAAACAAAAAGCTAACAAACTTGGTAGGTGCACACATTCAGCAAAATACAAAGCTGAAGAGCCAGCTTTCCCTAATGACTTTTATCATGATGCCGATAAATTATTTTGCAGTTTTTGCCAACACACCATAAATTGGATTCAGAGGGACATGCTCTGTGGATCATCAGAAATTGCTGAAGCACAAAAAAAATTTTTTTTTTAAAATAAGCAAAAGATGCCTATATGAGTAGGCTATATATTTGTATATTTTGCTGTTTTTCACATGTTTTTATGATTTTGAAACAAAATAGAAAATTGAAATTTACCATCACAGAAGAACATGGAATTTAACATTTTAGAACACGGAGAACATGCCACTGATTTATGCCTAATGTAACAGTGAGAGTTTGGGAAACACAAACACACGTATATTTTTTTTTTTTTTTAAATTGGAGTGAATCCTAGTAGTGAAATTAGATCAGAACAATTTTGTTTACTGATGGGAAATCTGATCTTGCCCATTTGGAATTGGGTCATTAAAAAAGACAATGGGAGATGGTCGAAATAATTTTTATTGGTTAAAATTTGAAATAGAGTTTACTAAAGCTATGAGGAACTTTGAAATTCACATAATTTTGTGTTGAAGGCAGCACCCGTGATAATCACGTGCGGGCCAAGGGTCGATTTATGATCAACCAGATTTATCTATATAAACGCATAGTTATGCTGAAGAAGAGGCAGACTGTCAAGGTCAGACGGGAGAGGCTGTGATCGGTCGGCATGCCGCCATGTGCATGGGCACACGCAGGTGACCGTTACGGGTTGTGGTGCTACAGAAATCTTTTCAAGAGTATGGTTGGCTCGTCTGCAGTCAAGCTGGGTGGAGAGAGGTTGGAGATTGAAAGTGACGTCAGAGATTGGAACAAAACCCCTGCTAACATGTACTGTTAATATAAGTGCCCCTGCTACTACTACCACAAAGATTACTACTACGGTTACTACTGCCGAGGAGGAATGTAACTATAAACTTTAAGCTGCACACAGAAATCTTTATCTCTCTATCACAAGAGTCATATAGGTTAATCACAACCCACTTTCTGTCTAGAATCCAGTGTACGAGTTTTTACGTCAATAACTTTTCTTTTCTGTAACCCATTTCTTTTCTATACCATTCTTTTCTGCTATATAAAAGACATTAACAATTCAACCAGTTGTTTGTCCAGCTTTCTGCCGATATATTTTTTTCGTGCATTCTAAATTTCTTAGTACAGACTCTCTAGCCGTGTCTACATCTTCAGTCAACCATGAATGGATGAACATCACTTCTGCTTTCTGGATCAAACCAGACACAATGTGGGCAGCAAGCAGGATTAGACCAGTGGACCGGTCGAATGATCTACAGATGCTCAGGGGACCTACGGCCATTCCCTTAAGTTCGGTTAAGACCAATTAGACACCTCAACCCAGAGAGTAAGACGTCGCAGGTTGAGGGGCTGGGGCAAAAGTGTTAGACTACTCAAATCTTTTTATTCAATCCTATGTATGATTTCTGACCAATTGGGATTTCTTTAATTTTTGACTATTGTTGTTTTGGCCAGAGGAATGGATTTTGTTTTATCCTTAACTGTTATTCAAAGTACTCATTCAGAATGGCAGTTATCATTTTTAGCCAATGAGAAACGTAGTTTTCATTTGGTTTCAAATTTATGTCCATTAAAACTATTAATTTTATCATCTACATTTCGGATTTATCTCTGAATAAAGCAAATGGTCTCATTGAAAACAGTATCCATTTAAATGTTTGCTTTTCTGAAAGAAGATCATAAAAGGACTCCTTCACAATCATACTCTATGCATATTATCACCTTGTTTTCATGAAATGGCAGCTCATTTCACATGTGCTATGATTTCTCACAGTTCTGCTTTTTATTACACATTACAAATTGTTTAAAAAACTAATTATATTTAGTGAATTGCACAAGGAAATATAACCTTATAGATTTTTTTACCCTGTATATGAAAGCTACACCTCAAAGGTAATTAATATCATCTAAGGCCAATCTTTTCTGCTGGATTTGGATATTTTGAGTATATTGGCTATTCTGCACATCATATACAATTAATTATTCTGAAATAATATTGTGATTTGATTGCTATCAACATCAACTGCTTAAGGGATCAGTGAAAAATCTCCAGCAAAAATCTATGCACATTATTTTTTGACACATTCAATTATTCACAGTAATCTTGCCACAAATAGTACCAATATTTTTTTTTTTTTTTTACATTTGCGTCTCATTTTTACCTTTTCTAAAATAAACAATATGCTAAAAATGTTTCTATTTTTCTTCCATGACAGAATCAATAAACAAAAGTGTCAATTTTGACAAAACAAAATGAAAATGCTTGCTGTATATACAGTCACAATACAATCAAAAGGTATATTTTTTAATGAAGTTAGTTTATTTGACTGAATAAAAAGAAATGGCTTAAAAAAACGTCTCCTAGATATTACATACAAAGTTAGGTAGGCTAATGTTTACCAAAATGCTGAAAGCATATCAGTAATTGTTCCTAGCCTAACATTGTAATATTAAATGTAAACAGTGAGGCCTTATAGGTCATCAAATACACTATTTAAAACTAAATACTCCAAATGCCAACTAAAAAAAAAAAAAAAAAAATTTTATATATATATATATATATATATATATATATATATATATATATATATTATATATTCAATATATTTCTAAATATAAATTTCAGGAAAAAATGTTAATTTCTTACCTGAATGAATTTTGCAACATCTTGTACAGCATTCCGAATACATAATCATCTTTTTGGACATCAAACCAACCCAATTTTGTTATTCGTGCAAAAAGCTATTCAAGAATTTAAAAATAAAATAAAGGAACAGGAATAATTTAAATTATCATTTCCCAGTACATAAGCAAACTTCAGAAAAAAAAAAAATTTCTTTCAGTTTTACTGATTTACACTTTAAACTTCTCTCAATTATTTATTAGGGTCAGCAAGAAAGTCCTGTTGTATTTTTGACAAACTCTTTGATGGTATTTTTCAATACTTATGGTAAAATAATAATTATGTTTTAATGTTTTGTTTTTTTTATTTCTTGCAGGTTACTTAGTAGCAGAGTGGATAAATTTATCAATTTTATCTTTTTAAATGATATTTATATCAGATACTTTATGCTGTTTGAATTCAAAAAGGTATGTTCAGCAACAAAACATTTGTTCTATGGAAATAAAACAATATAAATATCCAGATATGCCAAAATGGTTTGACCAGTTTTGATTGGGACATTTTCTCCCAAAAATTCCCTTCAATCTGGATGATTCAAGCTTCCATTATAGTGAAATAAAGAAATTATCTAATCAATAAATTTTAGCTCTCACCTGAACCAGAGATTGAAGGACGTAGTGCACTAGCTTTGGTCTTGTGCCCAAATAGTTTAAAACATAATTTCCTGTCAAAAGATAATATTGCAAAAATTTTAAAAAGTATAAAATCTTTAATAAACTAAATGTAAACAGATCTGTTTTATCACAATTATTTTAAAAGAATTTTTTTTAAACACTTAATAGAGAAATTTGAACAACAGTTGCAATAGTGCTAAGAAATCATTAAAAAGTATATTTGTAGTGAATTAGAATGATGAAAGTTTGTGTATCTTTGTTTTTACTCATTATATATATATATATATATATATATATATATATATATATATATATATATATATATATATATATACACACACACACACACACACACCAGTGAGAGGTTATGTTTGACATGACAAGTGATTGGACAAGGCACAGAATAAGTTAGATTCATTTCTTTTTCAACAGTGTTTACACAAGTAAAAATAGCAGTAGTTATGACAAAATTTTCATGTTTACAATTTCTTTTCTAAATCAATTTATGACTTCAAAATAGAATTGTAATTCAATATTATCTTGGAGATGTGATGAACATAATTTACTTCAGTTGTGACATTATAGCCATTGAACAAGATGAATGTTTTTGGTAATGTTGATAGCTCAATTTAAATATTAGCAAAATCCATGACATTTGAAAATGTATACAATTGTTGTATTTGTAGCTGAGAAGGGAATAATTATAGTTATGTTTATTGGATTCATATAATTTGACAGAAAGAAAAAGTTAATCCTTTAGCTAGAAAGTGCAGGAAACAATGGTAAACAATACCTTATAAATAGCACAAAGTATTGGAAATTTTGAATACATTGTAATGCTGACTCATCCCTGAAAGTATTAACTATTGTCAATAAACCTTTTTTTTTTATTTCCTTTAAAGATATCCTTAATGTGATTTTTGCTTTACTGATTTGTGTGTGTATATTTTGAGTATAAATAAAATTGCTTAATTGCATTTTTACTATTTTGACTTGATGTATTTAAAATTAAATTACTATTTTGACTTGATGTATTTAAAATTAAAAAAACAATCTAGTGGAATACTTATGTTATTGTCCTTAGTTTAGTTTCTTTATTCAGTCAAAATTTCTGTAGACCATCTGAAAAACCATTTATAAAATACCCATAGCATCTAAACTATTTAGAATAAAGATAAAATGAAGCTAAAAATAGTTTATCTGCATAGAAAATTATAACTTTCAACTTCATATTTTCTTAAGTAGTAAACTTGTGAGGTGCCAAGATTGACAAACCCATGCACTTGGCATAACAAGTTGTTCTATAAAAATGTTTTAAACCTAGACAGAAGTTTGTCCACAAAATGAAACTTCTGTCACGTGATGTTCAGACATGTAAGAATATGTGGTAAAAATATAAAAATTTTCTTAAACTGCTATGCTAATGTCATGAAAATAGGTAATTTTAAGGATGTAAAAAAAAAAAAAAAAAAAAAAAAAAAATTTGAGCAATTTGCAAACAATAATAGACATTCCTATAACCATAATAAATATTGTTACTACATAGAAATAATCTGTTACAACACAAATGACAGGAAAACTAATTTGGATGCTGTATCTGACATACTTTATAAATGAGAAGTACTCAAAATGGACAGCATCTTTTTGCAATTTCTCCACATTCAAGTTCTTATAAAATTAAGAGTACATAAAAGTACACACCTAAGCTGTTTATATTTTTGTAATCTAAAGTAAATAGTAACTATTGTCACCAAATCTGAACATGCAATATCCTTGGTGCTATGAATATTAGAAGTTTGTTGAAAGCTTTATTTTGCAAAACATAAAAAAATGCAGTTAAATTTCAATATATTCTGATTTTAAAACTATCATATTTTTCTGAGAGGATCACCTGTGGCCATTGGTTGATTTGAAATGGAATGAAATGACCCTGCTGTAAGATGCATTATATAAAACCCCTGTAATTTGTATAGTGCTGAACAGTATATCATTTGTTAAGTATTATTCAACATAAAGAGCAATAAAGTTTTTTTTTTTTTTTTATTGGGATGCTGAAAAGTATTCAGCCTGATTAAAAGAGGAAAAAAAAATTGTAATTAACTGTTTTGATAACTTTCCAGCTACTCTTCATGCAACTGCCTCTTTTCTTTTTTTCCTTTTAAACTAATGTTTACCCTTTACAAAGCCCAAGAGCCACTCTGGGTAGAGGGTTACTGAATGAGATTGATGTATGAGCATATGAGGAGGTGGTAAGTGCAGTTTATGAGAATATGTAAGATAGATAAGAGTTAATCTTATACTTGAAGTGGTTAAGATTGTAATGACCAGGGAAAATATATTCTTTCACAAAGCAGTAGTTCTTGGGAAGAAGATGTCCAAGTGGAATTTACTTTTTACTAATGCAATATGAAGGCATTGGGGATTATTCCTCCCAATGTATGTAGCACTTTTGGGCTTAGCTGGTAGAACTAAGGAATGTAGCTCATCAGAACATTTTCCATGAAAATAGCAATAGAGTCACGAGAGGCTTGCAACATTTCATCTGTAGGAAATAATTAATCACCCACAAAGCTGAGTAGACACTTTTGAATTATATCAAGACAGGAAAGTGAATTCAAGGCAGCTTTTTTCCTTTGTCAATGGCTCCTTGGCTGGGTAGAGAACTTTTCAGCATATCCTCATATATTATTATTTTCATAAAGTGCATGGATACTAATCAGAGAGAGAGAGAGCACCAAGGAGCAATTTTTTATTCCAAGGCAGTATAGACACACACACATGCAGTGCCAATCCATATATAAATATTCCCAGCAGTTTTGATATGTACAATGATAACATGGATATATACTTTGAAACTAGAAACATTTTCAATACTTCATTATAACTGTCAATTAAAGATTAAGCAATACAATCCTACCAATAATTTTTATTATTAGAATTATCAGTGTCTTCTATCCTACCAGCAAGGAATATCTGAAACATAGGTTACTCCCTAACATGGAAGAATGCAGTTGGCCAGTTTCTCAGTAATAAATACTATACAGGCTATGTGTTGAAACTGACACCTTTATTTCCATGGAGACAAACTACTCTAGAGTTAAAGAGAACAGTAATACTAGTGACTAGCATTTTGACTTTACTCTTATATGTACAAGCTAATTTTGAAATCAAACTAATAAAAAAAGTTTGTAAATTTGTAATTATTAAAACTGAATTCAGCAGAGAAAAAACCCTTAATATATAACAAGAGCATAGAGTACCTTCAGCTTTCTTTGCTAAGGGGAAAATACAATGAAAATACAAAGACAGGTAGTATAGCAATAATTTGTACTTGTTTGCTTTTTTAAAACAGTCTCAAGAGAAATAAAATGGCAAATAGGTAAAGCTGATATTGAGACAAATGAAACTTAGCTTTAACATAAAACACCCAGTCTTCATAAATTTATGGAATGGAATCAAGTACAATTCGAAATGACTTTGAAGTATTTGTATAAAAAAAAAAAAAAAAAACACTAAAAAGATAAAAATTGTTAAAAATATTTCTGACAAACCATGTCTTTGGAGTCCAAATCCCAATTGATCTCTACTAACCATTGGTATGAATTTACTTATCATATCAAATGAACTAGTATTAAAAGATAGGAGAAAATTCAATGGCTTGAGCCATAAGAAGAGACGAATTCAAAATTTAAACAGTCGACATAAACTGACCCAAGCAAGTTTTTTGATTAAATTGAATGGCTTAGTTGAGACAAGGATATTATGCCAGTAGAAAATGTTTAACAAGCTTTGAATCATAGCAACAGATGAGTGCATGGCTTAAAATATTGCAATAGGGATTTTGGAGATTAATACTCAAAAGGAAGAATTCAATTTCCTTAGTTGAAGTAAATTTAATTATAAACAATTTAAAAAAAAAAAAATGTAAACAATATCTTGGTAAGCAGACAAAAATTTGGAAATATACATACGTATATCGATTCTTTGTTCCAGAGGTAAAGTCATATTTGGTCGACTCACCAATTTCGTAAGAGTAGAAGCTGCCAAAAGTTGTGCATATGGTGACTAGAATTAAAAAAAGAAAATCAAATCAAGCATAGATAAGCATTGTGTGACTGAGAAAATATTATTTTTCATGGTAATGACTGTATATCTTGCAGAAATAAAAGAAAATGAAATAAAAAGAAGTTGGGTTTATAACAAATACTTCTAGAGTACCTGATCACAAATAACTTAGAACAAAAAGGTAAAAGATGACATGATTAAAGAGAGTTACAAGTTCAAAGAAATACATGAAAAACAAAGAACAATGGGATGCTGAAAAATTCTCAGTTCAACCCATTTCTCAAAATCTGACTAAATGAGTCAATATCAGAATATTTTTTGACAGGCTTCCTGATTCGTCTGAACTTTTTCAATATCTACCACATGCAAGCTGAAGATGCAAAAAAGATGCACTTTAATTTTTTTCAATATATTAACAGAAACCAAAATGTTTCTAACATTTTGTTTGAATTTCAAATTGATCATGACAAATAGGTTTAAAAATATCTTGTTCCACTGAAATTGACTCCTGTAAACATATCCAAATTATTAAAATTAAATTTAGCAAAACTATATTTTTATGATAGTAAATTGATAAAAATGTAAAAATACTATTTTGAGTTTTTTGATTAATCCTAAATAAATTTCTATCATCAATTATTGGAACAAGTCTTTAGTTTTTAAGCCAAGCATAAACAGCTACACTGTATGAATGTAAGGTTAGTTTACAATAACTAAAGATGAGTAAAGTGATTCTGTCTGTAAACATCCAGCCAAAGTAAGATTGGCCTACAATTAGTCCAACCTGCCATTCAGCCATTTACCATACAATGACAAATTGAAAATCATCCTAATTTGTGTAATTGCAGTTATTTTCAAGCTACATGCATTTATAACAAAAGGCAGACTAAGCACAGTATAGAAAGGGAGAAACCTAATTAATAATTTACAAATTCAAAGATTAGTAACAAATATATCAAAATGAGAATTTATTGTTAGAAGGAAAAATAGATAAATAAAAATGATACTAAAGTTAAAAAATCAAAATCAAACTGAAGTTTCTTCAAGCATTTATTGCTTCTGTAACTTCACTGTATTTCACTTTAACACAAAGAGTTGATCATGAAGCCTAGAAGATTACAATTGGAGCCCAGCTCATATCTCAAGATTTGTGACTATCTTGTGACATAATTGGTCATGCATAATCCACCCCTGCCTCATCAATGATAAAAATTGTTAGAATCAATATTTCTGTCAACATTCATTTATCACAAAGGAAATCAGAAATAATGTGTAATTTTTGCAATAATTTTGTTGGACTAATCCAATAGAATAATTTTTTTCACAAAGTAGACACTAAAAACAATTTTTTTTTTAGGCTTATGGTCTTTTAATTAAAAGTAAAAGAGATTTTCATTACAGTGAGGCCTATTTGTATACTAATTATGATGTTCAATTTATTTAAATTAGGCCTTCCCAAACATTTTGTATCACACATCCCTCCCCCATCCGAGAAACTTGTAACCCTCTGCCTACCACTGCCACCTTGTTTGATAAAAGAAATCAGTCTCTTCTCTGTCTATAGGACTGCATATTTCCAGAAAAGTCAGCCATTGGCTGATTTTCTGATATAAAGGACCAGATGTGTAAAAATCCACTGTAGAAATCTGAATACAAGATTTTTCGTCACAGGAAACACCAGCCCTAAGACAATTCCTTCTTGTTTTAAGAAATGTTTCAAACTATGTATTTATTCTTTCAGAGGAACTAAATTATACAGTCTTTTTTTCTTCATTCATGAAATGACTCACAATAAAAGGAAATTATACACATATATTTAATCAAAATAAATATAAAGATTTTCTTTAAGCAAAAATAATTAGTTTTTTTTTTCTCAAGGAATCAAATAAAAAACATGATTAAGTTAAAAAAAAAAAATATCAAAATCAATGTTTTAATATAAAATATATAAAAACATGGAGTTTAAAAAATATATATTAAAACAAACTTTTCATGAGTAGGTAAAAAAAAAACAAAAACTGAAAAGGTAATGTTTTCTCAAACAAAAACCAAATTAAAATTTTTTGTTAATATAAAAATATTTAAAAAATCTTATCTCTCTTAGGGAAAAAATAATAAAAACTAACATTTCTTCATTCTTAAATTTATTAAAAACAGAAAAAATTTTTCTGTAATGAAAAGGATGTGATTCTTTAACTTTGCACAATAAATCTTAGTTTAATATTTCTCTCAAAGTTTGGCCTCAAAGAAATGTCAATGTTCTTAATATTTACGTAGTTTTTCTTTTCTTTTATTATATTAATTTCAAGGTCCTCAAATACCTTCAATTTTTTTTTTTAACAATCTTTGAAACACATGGAGCTTGCAACCTTCACTTTAAGAAGGCCTGATTTTAAATCATATCTTTTATGAAATTAAAGAGACCTTAAATTAAAGAGAAAAAAAAAGAAAAGAAATTTTGATAGTATGAATTTCATAAATTGCTTTTGGCAGTATTTGAGCCTGTGACACTTTGCATATAGCAAACAGGCACTTATGACTGAAGCCAAGTTACTATCATTTAATTATTTATTGAGTTTAGCTTAGTCTGTACATCAGACCACATGAATGAGGCATCCAATGAGAATTAAATTCACAAGACACTAACAATTGTACCACAGTAAATGTCCAATATAAATACTATGTTCAGCTTAATCTGAAACTAAGCCACAAGTGTGAGGTACTCGGTGAGGCTTGAAATCAGTACAGTAGTGAAAGTCAGTAAGCTTATCTCACCTGTTCTATGATGTGGCACCCTTTATGCTGGGTTAAAAATTCTTTAAAACCCTCTTATAAAAATAAAATTATATAATATCCTATCTACTGTTTTACAAATTAGACTTTGAAAGATACAATCAAGCCTCATATCAAGCCCTCGATATGACAGGAAAGAGCTGGGTTATAATTTGATTTCTCATAATGCTGAAAAATCTTCAGATTTTTTTTGCAAATTTTAACCAATAGTTTTACAGCAACCCAACAAGTTCCTGTCCATGTCAGAAAATTTAACTTTCTGCAGTTAGCAGGTTACAAGAAAGCAATTTGCTACATGACTTCTCTTCATATTTTATTTTTTATTTTTAAAAGATATTAAGATAATAAACAAATGAAGAAAACATTTATCAAATTATTGGTCCATACTTTTAATTATTAAAAGACATTCTGTAAATGTCAAATGAAAACTCTCTGAAAAAACTTTCACTAGGTTTACTTTTTCCTTGATAAACAAAATTTCATGGTGTGAAAAAAAAAAAAAAAAAAAATTTAAAAATCATGTTTATCATTTAAAGAAATTTTATAACCAACATATATAGAAAAAAAAAAAAAAAAAAAAAAAAAACACATTCTTGTTGCAACTACTACAGGAAAATCCAGCAGTTTGGGAGGGGGGAGGGGGAATATTTACTCTTATTTTATAAATAAGAAAAATAAGATAATGGTTTAAGGCCAGAGGAATGGAGCAAGATTCCAACCTATTTCCCCAATGTCTCTCAAAGTACAATCATCTTCAAGAACAAGTCAGCATCCATTAGATTTCAATAAGCACTCGGACTGGTTCAACAGACAACCTCATAGTTCACGTTCAAATTAAGCCTTTTCAAGAAAAGCAATCAGACAATTATTTTACTTGGTACTCAACTTAACTAGTGTTTGATTGGCTATGCAAGACTTGTTAAACGCATTAGATGATTACTCAAATATTTAAGATCTTAAATACTCAAGAGAGTATTTAAGACCTTACTCTCTGACCTGTCTTACAAGAGACAGGTCAGAGAATGAAAAGAAAAAATTATTTGAATAATGTACCTGTTCAAAGAAATTAAAAATTTATTTTAGAATGGAATTATAAGTTTACAATGGCAATAATTATCTCTGGAAAATGGCTAGAAGACAGTTTCCTAAATAAAAGATGCAAAAATATTGTTAATATGAGGTGGGAAAAATGCATATAATAGAAAAATAGATTATTTTAATGAAGGATATTTATTCAAATGTAATGATTATCAGCAGAGAAAAAGGAATTAGATTTTGAGTTGCAGCTGAGGTTGCTTGTATTCTTTTAGAAGTAATGCCCTTAGGAAAGATATGAATCCCTATCTATTATGCACTCTGTATGATCAATATAGATATCATGGAGAAATGTCTTGTCACTGGCATACAATAAGGGTTAATCAAAAAAAAGAGTGAATGTGTGATTACTTTGGAAAATTATAAGTTCTTATATCTACTGTCAACAATGGCAGGTGACAGACTAGTCAAAGTTTATGATCAATTTAATTCTACTTTTTTACCAAAAGATTATTTTTTAAAAGATTGGAATGTGTTTTTAAATGTTGTGTATATATATATATATATATATATATATATATATATATATATATATATATATATATATATAGAGAGAGAGAGAGAGAGATTGGCTAAATTGTCTATTTCAATACCCTAACCTTTATGCAGGAAATTATTTTCTTATTTAGATTTTACCTTTGTTATAAGAATTATTTTCTTATTGAGATTCTACTTTTGTTAATTACAAAACTTTGATTTGTCTGACATGCAGTCAAGAGGATTGAAGTTACTACACTAATTGGTTTGCAATGAGTGAGTTAACCATTGTAATAAATCTTTAAAAATATAGATCCATAGGAAAAACTTTCATAAACTTTATCATGTTAATTTTTCCTTCTAAATAGAAAATAAAGTAGCAAAATATTTTATGATTTTTTTAAACTGATAAACATAAGGCAATGTTTAAATTATATTCATTTTAAATGCATATATGACATTCTGCAAATGGTCTTATAACTGCTAAAGCTCTCATAGAACAATTAATTTTATTCCAAAATTAGCCAAAATAACAGAAGAGACAAGAGTACTGATCTTATTCACTTGCCTATTTTTAGTTTGACCAATCTCTTGGCAGACCTAATAATTTACCAATAAGACTCAGTTAAAATTAATATCAGATTTAATTGCTATATAACAATTTCAACTAACAATTTTACCAGTAGTTCAGTTTAATATTTGATTCTACATTTGTAATGCATGGCCACTGATTGTGAAATGAAACCAATATACTTACATTTCCTCTTTCCAATAATAGTTGACATTTGCTGAGACAATCAGGAGATGAGGCAAAAGCAACTAGAGCCTTTTCAGCTTCACTGCGCAAATTACTGTCGGCAGTTTCATACATCTGTTTGCACAGATTCTCTAGCTGTATTAATTCCTGAAAGAAAAGAAAAGAAAAAATAAGTCATTGTTTCTTGCTGAAAATAATTTTCAATGTTCAGAGAAACTAATTAAAATTCATTTTTGTTTTAAGTTTATAAGTTGGTCTCTTGTTCTTTTTTCCACAGTAAATCTGAAGCACAAAGATTGGAGCCAATAGAAAATGTAATGGAATGTATGCAATGGATCCAGCTTTTATTCATGACACTAATTTAATTCCAGTTGCTATTAAATAACAGTCCCCTCCTTTGTCAATGCACTTTATTCAACAGTGAATATTTAATCACATTTAATGAACATTATGCAGTGAAAATTTCAGATCAAAGTTCAGTTACATGTCAAGTAATCAACCCACCCACATCTAATTTTACAAAAATGGAGAAAAGTAGAGATGTAATCTATAGATTTAAAGAAAATAAGAAAAATATAGAATTGACTTATCAACAGGTGAGACAAAGGGCCAGGTATTGTTCAAAGATAAGAAAATTTTTGAATGAGCTTCAAAAGTCTGATTTTACATGCAAAGTGCTGAGGGAAATGCAAAAACTAAAAATGTCCTTGCATTCTAAGATTAAAAAAAAAAAGAAAAAAATTATTTGAATTCCTACATTCAGAAACTGGGGTATTTTCAAAACTATTAATGATTACAAATGATGACCCAGATAAAATTATTCCTCCATTTGATGTCAATGGAGTTTGGCTCAAAGACATTTTTGTTATAATGATATAGTGTGTTGAAATTATAATTAAAAAGGTAGTAATACCACAGTGAAATTTTTATTTTAAAGCTTTCCTATTTCAATACTTTAGTCAAAATTATTAGGTGTGCTATGTGAGAAAGGATATTCCCCCATTATGAGCATTATTATATCCATGATGTAACAACACCTTAATACATGGGCAGAACAGAATAGCTGAAAGAAAAAGAATGACAAACATAGTTTGTCATCAAAGAGGTTTTTATACTGCTAAGTTATACACAAAATTATATACAAATATTTACAAGTCCCACACAGAGAAACTATAACACCTGTATACAACAACAATCAGTATGAAAATGGTGAAGCAAGAAAGGGTCTTACTTGTAATCATTCCCAATGAGAATTTAAACTGGCAGAAGATTCTTGTTTCTGGAGAAGCCATATTTATATTTCGCCAACAGGAATTCAAGTGGGCCAGATTTACCTTCTATGTCTCAGGTGTGGACATATTTCCCAACAGGAAAACAGCAAGTCATGGGTAATCCCCAACATGAAGATTGCAATCTGAAGATATTTTTTATATGTCTCTGGGGAGGACATAATGGTACTATGAGTTTGTGTGCTGCCCCATGTTACCTAGCTTGAGTAGGAAGATTTAGCCTTTGCCTGTGACATAAAAGCAAACTGCTTGTGTTGACTCCAAACAGCTAACTAAAGGATTGACCACTTTCTTCACTCTATGAACTGACATCACTAAGTGGCCATCATGTCACGTAACTTCATCTCAACCAAAGTGAGATAAGCGCCTTTTGCATCGCTACAAGGTTTACATACCACAGCCTAAAAACACGAAAATATTTTATTTCTGAACTGAATCTATGAATAAAAGTTCACTAACAACAGGATAAAAAGAAAAAAAGCAACTCTTGCTTAAATTTGTTACTAACTAGTACATTTGATGGCACCACTAAACACACTTCACAATGAATGGATCCCAAGAATTTATCGGGGAAACTAATATTAAATTCATTTTTTTTCAGAAATTCTATTTTGCAAATTTAAAAATAAAGTTTGTTTAACATGAAAATGAGTTTTCAAGACATGAGAGGGAAACAAATGCATGTGTATAAACTAATAAGTCAAATAATTATGTGCTTCAAGCTATCAAAATAACTATCAGAATCCATGAAGCTGCTCAATTCCCCAGTTAAATTAAGTAGTACAAAAAATGTGTACCTTATTAATGTAGGACTGACATAAAAATTTAGATATTAAATAAAATGTAATTTTCTGGTATATTAACAGCACCACTCTGTGATTATATGTATCTATTGGTATAAATTATAAATATCCTTATATCTAATCAAATCAAATATTGTAAGATGATTAGTATTTTATGGATCTTGTTATCCACTTGTGATTTTAGATTGTTTTCATTATTTCTAAATTACACTCTAAAATTAAAATGTCTTTTGAAATGTTTTAACTAATATTAAAAGTTGTTTAATAATATATTGGATAATTAATAAAGTATATACAGAATTCTATTAAGGATATTTTTTATACTAGTTTTCACCCAATGCAAGGCCCGAGAGCAACTCAAGGTAGAGAGTTAGTGAATGAGGTTTTTGTAAGAGGAGGTAAAAAATGAAGTTTATGAGCATATAGCAGCAATACTCTATTTCTGTCTGATCTGTAAAGATAGAGATGGTAGAATCAAGCATTTTATGAAGCGGTACAAGGAACCAACCATTTTTCCTACGTTTTTAGTGATAGTACAAATTTATGAGTGCCACTCAAGGTTTAGAGTAAGCTTGAGTCCCAATACACCTTTGATGCAAGGAACTTCATTGAGAGTACAAACGCTCTTCAGGACTGGAGTAAATTTATGGTCTGCTTAGTGGTGATGAAACATTAAGTTTTGTTTTGGAGGTATTGAATGATAGAAACCAGCCCCTCCCCCTCCTCATTGACCTGTTAGAGAGCTAGGTCAGAGGAAAGATCAGTTGTCATGCTCATGTCATCAAGATTTTTGGTGGTATCATATGCATATATATTTACTAATGATCCAAGTATGTTCTTAGACCTATCATTAATATAAAATGAAAAGATGGTAGGACTGAGGAGAGAGCCTTTGCTGATGACACTAAGGAGACTAATAGGATCATTTTGCGACACTCACCTGCATTATTGTAAACAGGGCATACATCTGACATCTTCCATGGGTTTGGGTTTGGGAAATGTTTCTCCTCCAGTTTTGACAAGATTGGAGATAGCTCTGGGCTAAGAACCACAGGGATTTCATCCAGACCAGTAGCACTCATAGAGTCATGGATTTTGACAAGTCTCGAAACTTCCTGAAAGCTTGTATTCCATAGGTGATGGCCCTTGTCATCTAATGTGGAGTTAGAAATTCATTGCAATGAGCTTAGCCCTATCTGACAAGGTTAACAAACTCAGGGCCATTATAATAAAAGGCACCTATGGTTCGCCTCTATGGAGAATTGTGTTTGCATTTTTCCAGAACTCGTGGGCTTCAAGTTTTTTGTTCTCAACTTTGGCTTTGATTACTTGTACATAATTGCTATATGCATTATGTGAGACACTCTTTCACCAGTTGAGGGTAGTTCTAAATGAGGCGAGAGTTTGGGTACATTGTTCATTCTTATAGAGATGGTAGTAGTGAGCTATAGCTGCAGCACATTCAGGCATCAACTAGGCTGGCTATTTGGTCTTTGTTAGTACTTTTTGTAGGGGATAAAAGAAAAGAATCCATTTGAAAAGGAGGAAGGCTGTTCAGGAACCTTTTTTTGAGGTTTTTTTTAAAGAACTTATTTTTCAATATTCATTGACTGCAGGTGAAAGGCATTGTGTATAATTTGTATTAATTGCTAATTCATTATAGTCAAAATAAAGTATTGTTCTTGTCACAAGTGAAGAAGGAATTCAAATAGGAAATAATGAGTATCCCAGAGAAAGAAATTAACCAATCTCCAATCACAGCTGTACTTCCTTCAGAAGATCAATGTCACTGTAAAAACTCGCATATCTCAAATGGTTTAAGAAACTTATATAACATTTTATTATTATATTATTTTTTTATTTTTATATTTTTATATTTTCATCTCATCAACATACACAGATTACAGCAACAAATGTAAATGAAAAGGCAATATTTGTAAATATTCAATGTTCTAACTTTCATTTTATCTAAAGTTAAAATTCTATCCATTTTTCTTAAAAACAAACCTTCACTTACCAAAGTTTTAACTATTTATTTGCATTGATGTGTACAAAAAATGTACAAAGGATTTCGCCTACCGACAACCAAGGAAACCTTCATTTGTAGATTATTTTTTTTTTAACTTATGCTAACCCAATGAAAGGCTCAAGAACCACTCAAGATAATGAGTTACTCAAGGAGGTTGTTGTATGAGCAGTAAGAGTTAAGTGTAGTTTATGAGGATATGCAAGAAAGATAATGTTAACTCTAGACTTGAACAGGTTAAGATTGTCATCATTGAGAAGAGATCCTAATGCAATTCATACACAAAGTTACCAAAGAGGTTAATTTCTCCAATAGCATTCATTTTTTTTTGTTTTTCTTTTCTAACTAGCTTAGAAAATTCTTATTAGTTCATTTAAATAAAGGCTTTTCGTACAGATTTAAGATCTAAAAATTAGCAGTCAACTTTAAAGCAATAGTATTACTGAAATTTATTAAAAAACAAAGAAACTAAAACACTTAAATTTACTGTTCTTAATTCTGGTATATATAAAAATGTGGCATCTATAATAATATTGATACAAAATGTCAAAGTGATTCATTTCTAATTTTCTTTCAATTTGTATGGTTACAATTTAACTTTTTAAATGATAAAATATTTAAAAATTAATTTTCAACAATTAAGAACAATTAAAAGAAATCTAAATATTCATTTGATCACATAAATAATAATTGTAGTTTGAATTGAAAGTGATACAGCTAAAATTAAGTTTTAAGTGAGAAATAAAATATAAGCAAAGGAATGTCAAATAAATCTCAAAGAATGTTATCATTGCATAAGTTATTTTATTGTTTAAAAAAAAAAAAAAATTATTCTTTAGAATTTCTATATGGAAAAAAAGTTCCAGAATATTTTGCAAATTTTTAAAGTAATTCTTTATATCAGACATTTAGTAAATGCTTTTAATCATGAACTAAGTGGTAGTCTTATTGCCAAAGAAGAGCCATTCTGTTAAGTTTTGTAAGTCTCTGAAAATGTTCCAAATTCATTTTAATTTGTATAGCAAAATA